TGCACTAGGTCTAAGTGTATCAAAAGACTACTTTTCAAGCACACCAATTTCCAAACACCTACACCACTACCTTAGTCCCCAAAACACCTGGGCTATTCAGTGGTCTAGGTTAGTGAACCTATTCTCCTTTGCTCTCCAATTCCCTGGTGTGTCAGCGGATAAGCTGACCACACACAGCTCCCTCTGTTTAACCTTCTCTCCACCACAATTTTTGGCAGTACACACTCAGAGGTGTCACAAGGGAAACCCAGCTTTCAATTGTTCTTGCGGTTTTTAGTTGTTTACATGCAAAATGCGTAAAACAGACTTTAATGTGAAGCCAATCCCATGTGCATTTCAGTCCTATTTTCCCTTACACTGTAGCACGGCTATTCATTATACTTTCGTAACAATCTCATTACACCATACATCAATGAACTGCCACAGCAAACAGAATATTGTTTGCGGTGTTCTGTCCTTCATACATTTCTAAAGAGATGAAAAATATCACTGCCATTAGGCCATTTCTTTTGATCTTGCTAAGCAGGACAATTACAAACCATTTCCTCAGCACCTGAACAATTAGGTGTGTGTGTACAATTCTGCATTTTTATAGGAGAAAGAGGAATTTTCTTTGAATCAACAGAAAATGTTTGATAATAGCTCAGCCATAAGCATATCACATTAGCCTTAGTTTTATTTATTACTGCTCATACAGAAAAGTAAATGAGCTCATTGTTATGTAGCTATCAAACAGATAATTACAATCCACACAACAAGCTACTGTAACAAATAATTTTGATATTTTGCCAATGCTTGTTAGCAAGCAAATGTTTTAGGTAAAGGTTTTCCAGTTTCCAGTAATATGTGAAATACAAGGGTGTTATAGGGCCAGGGTAGGGCAGAACTTTTTTTGTTGCCAGGTCAGTTTTTGAAAGAGGGTGGGCAGGTCTGTATTTAGATGTCATTATACCGAAGGCGCACCTTGATGACAACACCCTTTGGTATAACCTCTGTTCCTTATGTCCTCTGATTATTTTAGTAAGAGCTACTGCTAGAATGTGTTCTTAGAGGCAGCATCATGTTTGTTTAATGGGAAGAAAGGAGAGGCAGCTTCATGTTTCCTGAACTATTAAAGCCTGCTGATACCTCTTAACATTACCTGCACCCTCTTTCCCCTATAGTTCTCAGTTCACAAGTCACAATTTTGAACCCTAATGCTGTACTCTCCAAAGCAGACCAAAGTGACCCCTCTAAAGCGCTAATAGTCCATGTGAGCCTTGAGATCCACTGGTAACCCAGTTATAAATGATTGGCTAAGAGGTCATATGAAGCCATGCTGTAAATAACAGCAGGAAGTTTATATCACTGGTTATTCTGCTTGGCACACCAACTTCTCCAATCAGCAAAGCAAACTATCTCAGGTTTTATTATATCACACAGAGAGCTATGATCTCATGGTTATCAGATGATGCCTTCAATCTGGTCTTCCAGGTTTATTGGGGAGTAGAATCAGAAATGCAGATAGGCAGTAGAGGTACCTGCCTAGGGATCAGTTAAGATGGGGTAGTTATGAGCATTACGTTTTGAATGTACTTCTATGTCTAGTACTTTTTTGCACAGTAGAAGCAGATGATAGAGAATACTCTGTAATCATGGGCTGAATTCTAGCATATATAAAAATTTAACTATTTATTTACTGTATACTGGGAAGAAGAGAAGTCAGAAGGAGTTTGTTTGCCCAAAGTCAGGAGGCATTTAGGTGGAAAAAATGCATGGGTCACAGGCAGCAGAGAAAATATTGTGCCAGACACTGTCCTTCATTTCTTCCCACAGCTGGTTAACAACTGCATTAAGCCCTTTCTGCAGTTCCTTTCAGCAATAATATTTTATATCTCACATGCAACCTTTAAGGAGGAACCTTACAAGAGGGTACAGAGTATATAGGTTGCATATGGGGGAATGTCACTGCTGCCAGGAAAACATACAAGCAGTTGTTATAGGCTTTTCAAGTACAGTTGAGGATGGACTCAAGAGGTTAAAGCGTCAACAGGCACAATTGCTTCTGCTGTCACAGGGAGAGAGTTTGACAGCTGCAAATTAGTGTACAGATAGCCACTCTTCATAGACTGTGAAATACAGAACTAAGGTGAGGAGAACACAGTACAGCAATAATAACTTTATAAACATTGCTGAATGGCAACATTATTATTAGTAACCCTGACCCGGTTTACCTCTGCTATCACTGGTAACATGGTCCTTCGTTCTTTGGTTATATGGTCTTTATGATTTGGGTAGCTTAACAACACAGCCTTCACTAATATGACTTAACGTTCTTGGTAACATAGTGATACCATTTTTGGAAACAAGACTTTGTTGTCTTTGGTATCCGGACTTCTTCTGCTTTGGGCAAAATAGATTCACTGATCTTAAAAGGAGAACTATGAGGTGAGTGCTTTTCACTCACCTCATAGTTCTAGCCGACCTGTGACAATGAGACTGTCACAGGTCGGCTCAGTAGATCGGGAGGTGAGCAAACACATACCGGCGTTCGCTCACCTCTCGATCCTGCCACGGCTCTCTGCCGTGACAGGGGAGGGGCTGACTGGCGGAACGGACGGGGGAGGGTACAGCTGACTCTGCCTCTAGCTAGGTAGAGCCAGCTGTCAGTCACGCAGCTGAGCGGATCCCGGCATAATTGTCGGGATCAGCTTCAGCTGCGGCGTCTCAGTATACCGCGAGCTACAGCTAGCGGTATACTGAGCCTAGGGTGACGGGAGGACGCTAGTTTGTGTCCTCCCATTACTATGGGGAAAAGCCTTAACCCCATAGTTCTCCTTTAATAACATGGTGACAGATTGCCTGGTAGCATGGGAAAGGTGTCTCTGGTACTATCATCTCACTTGCTGGCAACATGGCATTACCAGCTTAAAGCATGAAGTTGTTCATGCCCCTGTGACTCTATTCCTGTTGTAATGTGGATAGAATTCTGACTCTAACATTGTTGCAATGATTCTGTATATGACACCAAGTATGCTTAAAAAATGGTGCTGTACTGTTACAGTATCCCAGCACAAGTGGTCACACTTTGATTTCTACCCAAGGCCCAATTTTTTGTAAATTCAACCCTGCATTCAGAGCAGTGTCCTTGAGAGATGTAGCCTGGAGGTATGCTGCAGGATATTCGATTTTAGAATACCATATAAAAAGTACTGTCACGGTCTGGGAACCGGGGCACTAGGGATCGTAGCTCCGAATTTTGTGGAGCAGTATGGAACAGGGAATAGGTCTGGAACGCAGGTCTTAGAGAGTGACTGGACGCAGTGTTAATGTCTGCGTGTGTTTATAAGGTCAGTGTATGTGTTTGTGATGGTTTCATTGTATGCAATGTCAGTATATTTTTTTGTGATGGTTTGTGTGTGTATTGTCAGGATTTCTGTTAGTGAAGTTGGGATGTGTGTTAATGTTTCTGTGTGTGTCATATCAGTATGTATGCATCTGTGCAGTGTCAGTATATGTGTGTGTTTTTTTTAAATTTCATAGAGGACCAACAGATTCACACAGTTTTACTCACCCACACAGATACACACACATGCACACTAATACGCACACATAGAATTATGCACAAACAGAAATATGCACACCCAAATATGCACAAAGAGAAATATGCGCACACACAGAAATACGGACGCCTCACAGCAAGGAATACACATGCAATAAGGTCCCATTCACACCTATATGCACCTGTGCATTTAGGGATTCCTTTGTCAGGAATTTGCATTTTCCTGCAGCAGGAATCCCAAATCTGGCATTTACAAGTGGCAGCTGTCACCAGTTCAAGTTAATGATCAGGTGATAGCCACTGCATGTAAATGCCGGCATACCGCATGTAATCGGAAAATGCAAATTCCTGACGCAGGAATCCCTAAACGCACCTAAACTTACAGGTGTGAATGGGCTCCCACACAAACACTTAATACAACGCAATAAGATACACATAATAACACTTAATATTCAAGGGTGCAAGACTGGGAGGGAGAGCGCACCAGGACTGTGCATACACAGGGGTAGAGCTACAGAGAAATACAAGGAAAGCTTATGGGACAATGGAGGAGATTCGCAAGGAGTGAGACAACGGAGTACAATAGTACCAAAGCATGGCACAGGAAACAGAGAAAGGTACACATATGTGAAAACTGGCAGACAGGAGGGTATAGGAACTCTACAGCAGTGCGAAACAAGACTCAGGGAGAGCAGGGTCAAAGGGGCAATGCAGGGTCTCTTCTTCAGGGCAACATAGTGACAAATGTCACTATGTCACCCTGAAGAAGGGACCCTGCGTGGCCCTGATACATTCGTTAAATGACGCTTGAGACATGTTTCTTCAATAAATAGCCAAAAGAATCTAATGCTTTTGACTGGTGCTGGTGATCTCCGTTTTTTACGATTTTGGAAAACACGGCACCATCCGTGCAATCGCTACGAGCAATCAAGGTCAACGTCCAATCGTTGTAAGGAGTGCAGGTGTCATATCACAATACTATATGCAAGAAAACAACGCCTGTCAACATGGGCCCTAATAATCACTGGTCATCTGTAAGCTACTACTACCTATAGAAACCAAAATTCAAATATCCATAGCAATAATAAAGACAGATAACTTTTAATTGGCTGCGGTGGGTTTCTGCACATTGGAAAATGCTTACTGTTCTGTGAAATAAACCTGGCAATTTTGCTTTTTGGAAACCTGACTCCTACAGGTTTTTCCAGGCTTCGTGACAGCAACAGAAAATATTTATATCATGGTATTAGACAGAGTAGATTATTAAATGCACTAATCCGTTAATCATACACAATATTTACACAGGCTCATAAAAGGGTCACGACTCCAAAATAATGATATGTTCAATTATCAGAAATACATAAGTAACAGGAGAAGTGTTTGCTTTTAATGTCATCCGAAAATAGAAATATAATAAGCATTCTTTTGATTGCCATGCTGGATGCATCTAAATAAGTACCTTGGCTACATAATACACGATGCAGGCTGTCATGTGCATTACGCCCTCTGTTACGCCAGCCTGTTTTTTCTGCCAGGTGCTGCTGGGGATCTCTTGAAAAACTGCCAAGCATTTAATTAGGATCTGAAAACATGAACAAAAATGTGAATTATGCATTATAGTATTAACCTCTTTGTTCCTAGAAAAGAATCCTCTGTGATAACATTTCACTTTTATTATAACAATAAGCATTAAATAATGGCTGTTAGTCTAATTGGGTAAAACTACTTTGCATACTTAGCACACAATTCGGTTCTTTCCAGTGACTTTGAGTCAATGTAATTTGGTTCTGTTTGCCACAGACTGAAAGCAGCTGAGTTGGTGCTACAGGTGGAACCCACAGCCGACATTATCAAAAAGGCACAATTGATTATTCTAGGGTCAGTTCTTCAAGAACCTTCCCATGTGTGGTATGTGTTAGGATACACATTACTGTGTTTATAGCAACAACTTCTGCAGTATACAATTTCGGTCACTAGATGGCAGTGTTTATAAGTTTTGTTATATATCTATGGTAGATACTCTGTTGTATTGAATAAGGTAGAGAATAAAGCTGTGGCTTCGTTCCTGTTTTCCATGCCATGTGCAGCATGCATATCAGACTGTGTGCTCATATTTCTCTGTGAGGCTGTGCAAGAAGTTCGAACAGTATGTTTACAATTCCTAATCCAACAAATATGTGGGAGCAAGGGCAAAACTTTGTATGATATGGCTGTATAGCAAAACCATTAAGGGTAAAGAGACACAACTTTCAATGCCTTGTGTTGCAATAACATTAAGTGTGTTATCTTATTGCAGTGTCATTCATTTTGAGGCAATGCAGTCCTCGATGCACAATGCACTGCAATGTGTTGTGGTCTGCTGCATGGGAAACAATGTTGCAAGGCCGTTTTTCGCTACTCTTCTTGTGCGTTGGCAGCCCATTCCAAATAACATGTGACACATCAAGAGTTAATGCAATACACAAACATGGACAAGTCTGGATAGGCCTTAAATGTTTCCCCCCCGCCTCTAACCTCCTTTTCAACAGCACTTCCAGTAGTGATACAGAATAGAAATGGTTTCATTGTGATTTGAGGGAGGACCGGAAACTATACATAGGTTATATATTTTTCACTGTATCCAAATGTATTTGTTAAATGCAGTTACTACTATATCTGTGTATCCAGTGGTGTATTTTGGTTTTATGCTGCCCTAGGCAAGACTAAACCCGGACACCCCCCATGTAAACTTGCCAAACCCTTTCCTGTTGAAGACATTTTGCATAACCTGTCAATCTCTGTATCCAGCGCTCACGTTGTGTCCATCTTCTGACAGGTTTCGCTATTGGAGTAGCAGGGAAGCCCGATGAAAATTTTGCTTGTCCTATCAGAAGCTGGATACAGCTACCCGTTTATAGTAACAGGCGCATGCTATCACTTTTGCCAGTGTCAGAGAGAGGTGGCTGAGCTCGTGTATTTCTAAGTCCCATAGTAGTCACATATTTTGCTATGGCTCTTGCCTGGAAAATCAAACTGGTGGTACTAAAAAATGTGACCGTGTTATATCTGCATGCATCTGACTATAGCCATTTCAATCACTGTATCTTTCAGGCCAAATAACTATGGAACATGTAATTGGTATTTCTGTTATAAACACATGTGCATTTCTTCCACAGGTAAAGTAGCATACCATGGGGAAGTGCATAAAAATTGCCAACCTGGTCAATGTATTTTTCGACCAACCCTGTTTTATGTTCTATAGTTAATCCTCCTTCCACTAACTGATTGCCAAAAAATGTGGTCCAATCCGTTGTATCAGGCAATGGTCATCTCATTTAATTGGTACTTTATGGTAGTCAATCAATGCAAGACATCACGTTAATACTAAATCGAAATACCATAATTCACACACAATGAGTTTTATTGATTGCTGAGACTATAGAAATGACATCAGCATCTGAATTGTAAGGGAAAAAAGAAGCCCTGTGAAAAATGACATATGGAAGATAAAAGATTCCTTAAGAGATATCATGGCAGTGTTTTAGTTGTGTATTACAATCTACACATATATAATCATTTTAACCATAATCAGCACTAAAAAGCATGTAAACTGCTGTTGCCATCAAGAGTTTCAATGTTAATAACCTATAGGGTTTAGAAAATAGGCAAACATATGCAAATAAAAATGTAATACTTTTAAAGGTAACACCCAATATGTGGCCACATAATTTCGAAAAATCTGAAAGTGTTTTGGTATTTGGCTAGTTTAACAAATGATGAGTGTCCAATTAGAGAGCAATAAGATCTCTCTTTTCTACAGAATGGCTTCATTCACCTGCTGTGTGCCACCACCACGCTGACTACTTATGTGTGATTTGAAGCTTCACAACAGACCTCTCTAATATTAATAGGTACATTTACATCAGCCTGGAACAAGTGCGTTATTGTTTGTATCTGAATGACTTGTTGTGTTTAAAGACATAAATATAAATGATTGCTTATCATGGCTGCTATGAATCTGTGTGGGCACATTTCTGCTTACCTGCACTACTGGAACAGAAGGGATTCGGTGATAGATTACTGGAGCAATCAGACCATAGCATTGAACAACAGCTTGAAGGGCATAGTTGGCATCGCTCAGCAAGGTACTAACATCAAGAGCCACTAACAATCTTTTGCATTCAGCTATCCGACAAAGCTAAAGATAACAAACACACATATTTAGCTCAGTGGAGCAGATATTTCTGTAAAATCTTATACTAAAGGGTTCTGTCAATCTAAATGTAAATACTTTTATAAACTCTATGTTTCCTGCAAATCAATTTGTAATACATATATTTCCCTTTGTGAATTATATAAACTTTGAATTTACAAATTGCCTGTCTCTTCAAGTAAGTTATTTCAGTAATCACCTTTTCACGTGTAGTGAAGAAACTACTATGGCATGCTACTTGGTTCTACTCCATTCACTCACAATTTAGCCAACTGTTTCGCTTCTTAGATTCCATAAACCCCATTACCTCACAACACAAGTGTTGTTTTATTTTTGATTTTTTTTTTTTTCAGAGAGGTTTGTGGCAATAAAGTTTTTATTTTCAAGTGGGCTCAGCCTAATGCTCCTCAGTCAATGGAACATTAAGCAGCTACACAGTCCTGATATGCTCTACTGGTACCTAGAATGTTGTGACAACAATATAAAGTGTCATTTGGGAATATAGCTGTGACATTGTAAGGAGACATTGAAAGCCGATGAAAGTGGAACTATAAGAGCACTTTTATAAATGCATTCACAACACATTTGCAAGCAGTAGTGCTTAAACCAAATAGCATCAGCTAATTTGATTTTCATGACAAAACATCCTATGTGGGCTGCTCTATGTGACCTGATTATGTACTTTTGAGTTGCTACCGACTTCTTCTTTTATTGAAAGGAAGTTCTGCGATCACTTTAACAGTTCTAATATTAAAGGGCAAATCTACTTAGAAGTTGTATTATAGTTATAAGTAATATCTGCTGGTCTAAGTTAGCCGCCTGCTTCTGATATGTCTTCGACACACAAACAGCAAGGTCTCTCTGCTTCCATTACCATCCACCCGGGAGTTTTTGATGTTGTTACCCACCTTTTGGTCTTAGACTATTGTCCATAATTGCCCTCCTATACCAGCCCCAACACAGAGAGTAGGAACTTTTCCTAAGGCCACAGCAGGTGTGCAGACCCAGACAGTCTAGTCTAGTGAACTGTTAGCACTTACCAAAATCTGAAAAATAAGGACTGATTCCTACAGCACAAGTACATTTAGTACAATAAATAGTATTGTACAGTAAATTGCAGGAAGGTAGGGATTTTTGGCAGAAGAGACATGCAAATTCTCTTCTTCCAAAAACAAATTCTTCCTCTCTTCCCAGCAATTTTTTTTATTCTGTGTACGCTGTATGATGCATGCCAAGATACCATGATGGGCCAGGTGCTGGGGAGGACGTAAATCCTGTGCAGGAGTTATATCACCAGTGGTCACCCAATAGTCGAAGAGGAGGATTCCTGGGAACCCAGAAGAGGACAAAGCAGGTGACCGAAGAGTGATCCAATAGCACTGGAGAAGGTCATACTTGTAAAGTAAGTGTGCCCTAATGTGCATACTTAGGGCATACTTGCACATTAGTATGCCGTGCATACTTGCACATTAGGGCAAAAACCCAACATTTATACAGTGGTTTGCTACCGCTTTAAATTCTATAGAGTTCAGAAGAGTATCAACTAAAACCCTCAAACTAGACAAAAATCAGTGCCTTTAATTCTTATATAGCTTTTACTAAAGGCATTCTTGTCTTCTTGCCACATAAGTGGTCATGTCACTCTTAAGCAGGACTTAGACAGGTTGCTGCAAAGGGTAGACACTGCTCAATGATATTCCTATGTTTGTGTAGATTTCAGCTTCATGAGCTGAAACACCCAAGACTGTGCCATTCATATCCAGTAAACTGCATGCAAGGTGCTCTCCTGACTGAGGTTTTGTGATTAATGGCTTTTAATCCTGCAGGAGCTGGAAAAGGAATCTTGGAAGTATAATTATTGTTGAATTGTTTGAATAATACCCTCAAAGTGGCATGACAGTGAAAGATTTTTATAACAGAGAACAAATAACACTGTCTCCATTCTGTTATACTCAGCTATGCATGCCGCGGTCGGCATTTTAATGGCCCATTTATAAAATCCAGGCCATGGTACGGTCCTACTGCTGCTTAATAAATATACCCAATAGGGAAATGCTTTTTTTATAACCCTATCTGAAAACCACATACATATGTCCTTTTTTTTTTTTTAGTAATGTTTTTTAGAATAAGGGCTGGATTTGGATTAGAAGTGGTGGTCAATGAACTAAGGGCTATGGAACAAAGGGTCCAGCTTATCTGGATGTACGAGTTTGCAGGATGTCCAATTTTCAACAATACCATCTCCTGATTTTGGTGCCTAATACAGGAAAGACTAAGAGTACTCTGCTACACAATTGGTAACCTAGCACTCCTAGTATCATTCTCCTGTGCAGGGAGTTATAGGAAGATAATATAAAGATAGATATCATGTTGTTATACTTGCAGTATTTTAATACATTTTTATAATTGTGGTATTAATACACTTACTGGACTAAGAGGCTTTTAATATGTCCTGGAGTTCTAAAGGCCAACATACATTTACTTAATTTAATAATACTGCAATGTGCATTTTTATGCTAAAGTCAATTATGTCCATAACATTATCACTTTGATTCTGACATTAATTATACTATTGTGAATAAAAACTGATATTTTCTTCAATAATTTTCAAAGGACCCAAGGTCATATGTGATCTGGTATTAATTATCTTATATTAATTTTAATCTCAGTCATCAATATTATAGCCGTATGACATTCCCTTTCATATATATTTATTAATATTCGGTAAATCAGTCCTCATTAATAATGGTTATTAACTCATTACTTACTTGCCCCTTGCGAAGTATACCTCCATCACAAAGAGAGTCACAAAACAGTGCTCCTTCTTTTATGTTTATTTCACTCATTGCAAAAATACTTCCAAGGAAGAGTTGCAGCAGAATGGGAGAAGACGTTGATATGGCATCATTGCACAATCTGTGGGAAAGCATACGCGTCATATCCAGGCTTATCAAACAAAGCAAGCTTATGCTTACTGTATATACAATTACAGATATAAAACATATTTTTTACAATAATGCTACTAATTGTGTCATGTTTATCAGAGCTGATTAGTTTCTAGGGAAGATGAAAGATGTTGGAGATTAGTAAAGACTAGCATTTTACTTAATAATGAGAGTAACAAAGTGCTAATTATACAATTTTCCATATGCACAGCATGTCTATGTTGCCCATTATAGTTACCATGGAAACATAAAATTGCCCCCTTTTTTTAAAAATAACAAATGTATGACAAAGTGGATAGAAATGGGCATTATATATAATGTCATTCATACTGTGTAGAATACTACATGATCTTTTTCAGGGAGATACATAAAAAATATTAATTAACTTGTAAGAAAATAAATGCTAGTTTCTGTTTGTCAATGTTCAGTCGAAAAACCTAACAGGTTGCCCTAAATATTTTAGGATAAAGCTGCTCATCCAACATCTACATTTCGTTTGTGGTATAATATGCATAGACTTGGACACAGTAATTAGAGCAAATTGCTTTTGACTGGTTAAGAAAGTAGCACTTGCAACCTAGTTATTTAGGTATTTTTTTTCCAAGCAAAAAAACTGTTTTATTTGTTTATTGGGACTCCAGTAACATGAGAGCCCTTTATGAGTTACAATAAGAAGGCAGGATATATAATAAGAATAGATTCTTAGATGGATTTCATGTCACTACTTACCTCATCTGATGTATATAACCTTCCCTGTTTTCTGATATAGCCAGATCAGTAGATGCAGGGACTGGCGACACAACAAAGTAGTTCCACAGCACAGAGAATGCCTTCTTAGCCACTTTATAGTTGCCAACTTGATACGCACTCTGTGTCAATGAAAACAGCATTTCATTTCTTAGTACGGACTGGAATTGCTCAAAACAAACCTAAGTTCACACAATTAAATAGCCACACATGTATTTCTAGAAATAGGAAACATACATTTCTAGAAATAGGATTCTGCTAACATTCAATCTCAAGGTGAAATGCGCACGTTTGATATCACGAATGCATACATGGCATATCAGCAATCGCTACTGATCTCTTAAAGCATGTCAGTGCTCTCTAGCAGTCTTTTACCGTCTTTAACAGCATTTTGGCAGACATACGTAGTCTCTTGCAATACGTCACTGGCCACCTTTTTGGTTACTAGTATTCTCTTGCAATATGTCAGTGTCCTCTTAGTATTTTACTAAATATCAGTGACCTCTTGGAGTTGCTTGTACCATATGCACGTGAGGCTTTCACCATCAGAAGGCATCTAAATCGGAAAAAGTTACACAACTAAAGATAATTTGATCAGTTAAAAAGATCAGTATGGACTGGAAAATTCTAAAAAACACACTGATATGTGACAAATATAATGCAAATCCCTATTTCTACTTCTTGGCCAGCAATAAAATTCTAATCTTTAAAGGGGCAGATTACAAAGAATATATGGTTTAGTAATTTTGGGTAAAAGTTGGCAAAAGAATAGTAAGAACACCTTTTTAGGTTACCTAAGGTATGCCAAATGTAAAATATAAATAGTTTTATAGGTTACAAACGTAGTTTTGTTTACACCTTCTTACTGACTATACACATTGGTGTTTGTGTTATTAACCTGGGAAGGCTATGAATGCAAGTCAATTCATTACACTGTTAAAATTGTACTTTTAGCCAAAATATTTTTCTTGTTTTGGAAAGTGGGAGAAATGGTTAGAACCCCTCTCTGATTTTCATTTCCTATCCAGCCGAAGCAATGCACCCTTTCTTTGTTCTGGTGACCAATGCTAGAGAAACAAAAAGCGATAGTATATCCAAAATGTTATCAATGTTACTAGAACAAGAAGTGAGGGGACATCTTCTGCTTAAGACACCTAATTGGGGATCTCCCCTCACTTTGAAAATATTTCAATTCACTTGGGTCTCTGTGATGCACTTATTTCCTGCCTCAGCAATACAGCTTCCTAAATTCCTCTCCATCTGAAGGTTGCTGCTAAACAATAAATTAGCCAAGAGGTGATGTAGGAAGCAGTAAAGCTGAACAAGAAGGAAGTCAAGCATGAAGTAGTAGAGTGATTTTCCGATCTGAGCCGTGTTGCAAAGGTCACAAGGGTGGCTGAACAAAAATTGCATATACTGTATGTATTTTAATCATGTATTCAGCTGTTTGTATGGTTTCATATGTAATCTATCCTAATGAAACCTACCTGTTCTAGGTAGGCCCATGTGGCAGGCAAAGACAGAGGTGGAAAGGCAAGGATTGGTTTAGTTGTTTCTCCAACTGAATCCCCAATGAGGCGTCCATCTCTTGAATACGCCGCTACAGCAAAGATGTACCTTTCATTTTTTTTCAGGCCCCTAGCCTCCAATAAGGTCTTGCTATTTGCTGGAACCTGTGAGGTGATATACAAAGATTAGCAAACAATATGGGGTCTATTTATGAACCAGGGGTCCAACGTTCCTAGTATATTTTTTTTCCAGGTCGAATTTAATGTAAGACTGCATTATGGCCACTGGATAGAGCTGAAATACTTATTTCCCGTGCTCCTCAGCTCCATCTAGTGGCCATAATATGAAATTACATATATTACATTGGACCAGAAAATAAAATAAACTAAGAATGTTTGTTTTGGTCTCTATTCACACGGTACGTACCCTCACATTTTCAAGATTTTCAAAGCAAATGGTTCTTCATATTGTTTGTAAATAGACTCCTATGTGTGCATTGTGTATTACACATGTACAGCAGGACCACCAAAATGAACGGGAAATGCCTAAAAAGTGTCATGCACATGTTTTTAGCACATCAGAACCATGGAAAATCTCTATTCATGATTGTACTTCTAATTGTATTATGCATGTCCAAATGAGGAAAGATATGCATAAAAGCACATTAAAATAAAGTGTTACAACACAGCTGTGCACGAGTAAACACTGACGTTAAATTTCTTAACAAATTGAGTACATTGTACATTGTATGACAGGGCCCTGAACGTCTGGTATCACATTTACATTTCCCAAGAAAAGAAAGATATCAAATTAGCTTAAATGCGGTAAATTGCAGGTCTCAGTTACAGTAAAAAATACATCACAGCAAAGTCTGAAGCACATTACCTCCACTCCTGTTTCAGGAAGATGGTGATCATTTAGCCTTACTTTTAAATTGGGTCCAGTAACACAGCGCCCAAACAAGCAGTACCAAGCCACCTGTGTAAAATACAGAAAAGCACGAGAAATAGCATAAATGCACTTTATTGAACAAAAATACATTTATATGAAAAACAGATTCAATAACCGCTCCCCGTGTTGTCTATAGCCTTGATTACCTTTATGTCAGATTTGAAAGGAGCTGGCTTAAACACCATTGAATTTTCTGTTCTGCGAATCAAGATGGGTGGAGGAGGAATGGTCATTTTTCCATTTTTTGATTCTGATTGTTTAATGCAAGATAAAAAGACTGCATTCTCTTCAGTTTCAGCCTGTTGAATTAGTTTTTCTGACTCCTGCACATAATACAACACAAGAACAGATAAACAATATGCCTGATCTTTGAACATTTCTGAAAATATAGCTTAAACCAGGCCTCAAAATTTCCACTCGCCCACTCGCAATTGGCGAGTGAAAATTGCGTGGGGGCGAGTGGAATGGCATCGAGGGGGTGCGCTGGTACAGTACCGCCGCTTCCGAGCTGCGATCGTTTTGTGTTCACTCGCCCGGGGCCGCTTTAGCTGCAGCGGCCAAGGAGAAGAATCAGTTTCGGATCTCTTCGGCGCTTTCGGTCTTTCGGGCACCTGCAGCTTCCTCCGCCCAGCTCCGCTGCTATAGGTTAGGGGAGGAAGCCTGCAGAGTTACTATTGGACGGGCAGAAAGTAATGCAGCTGAACCTGAAAATAAAGTTTTTTCTGTCGGTAGATGGAGGATCTCTTTACTCTTTACTGCACCTACCCCCCCCCCCAACCAGGAGAAAGAAGAGGGCAACTGAGAATACCAGCTAGGTGAACTGTAAGTCCCCTTTCTTTCTTCCTTATTCTGCTGAACTCTGCAATATGCGTTATAGCGCTGTAACGCATATTGCAGAGTCCAGCGCTGTAACGCATATTGCAGAGTTCTGCGCTGTGACGCATATTGCAGAGTTCTGCACTGTAATGCCTATTGCAAATGTGCGTTACAGCGCAGAACTCTGCAATATGCGTTACAGCGCTGTGACACATATTGCAGAGTTCAGCGCTGTGACGCATATTGCAGAGTCCAGCGCTGTAACGCATATTGCAGAGTCCAGCGCTGTAACGCATATTGCAGAGTCCAGCGCTGTAACGCATATTGCAGAGTCCAGCGCTGTAACGCATATTGCAGAGTCCAGCGCTGTAACGCATATTGCAGAGTCCAGCGCTGTAACGCATATTGCAGAGTCCAGCGCTGTAACGCATATTGCAGAGTCCAGCGCTGTAACGCATATTGCAGAGTCCAGCGCTGTAACGCATATTGCAGAGTTCTGCACTGTAATGCCTATTGCAAATGTGCGTTACAGCGCTGAACTCGGCAATGTGCGTTACAGCGCTGACCTCTGCAATGCGTGTTACAGTACTGACCTCTGTACTATGCGTTACATTACTGACCTCTGCATCACACCACTGACTTCTGTACTCTGTACTGATCTCTGTACTGTGCGTCATATTTCAGGTGCGATTAGGGATTCCTGTGTCACTAACTTGCGTTTTCCTGCAGCAGGGATCCCTAATCTGGCGTTTACATGTGGCAACTGTCACACATTCAAGTTAATGATCAGGTGACAGAAGCTGCATGTACACGCCTGCATACCGCATGTAATCCTATGTGATATGATTACATGCAGTTACAAAAACAATCACTATCTCTGGATAAACAATCGTGTATCCAGGGAGAGTGATTGATTCCTACCTGCATGTAATCCTTTCACATATGATTACAGGCGGTATGTAGGCGTTTACATGCAGCAGCTGTCACCCGATCATTAATTTTGAATCGGTGACAGTTGCCGCATGCAACATGTGCATACATTAAAACTGGTACCGTATATAGTAGCGGCTCCCACGGGACAAAAAAATGTGTCCAGTGGTCCCCGACTAAATTGAGTTGGAGACCACTGATGTAAAGAATTAAGTAAGCCTCTCTCAGAGAGAGGGAGAGCACCTCTATCACCTAAGAACACTATTAAAATCTGAGGCTCTGGGGGAGAAGGAGGAGTTATATGAGGGCCGTCCCTTCAGTTTTTTCTTTTTGACAGTGTTCGATCACCTGAAGGCAGCATAAAACCCAGGTTTTTAAAGATACTGTGCACTTACTGTATAATTAAGAAATTGTATTTCTGAGATACTTTCCACATATTATGTGCATATGAAGCCCTATGAATCTGTTCAATATGTAGGAAACTTGACAAGCTTCAATTCGTTTTCAAGTTCCCTTTTGTCCACATTAACAAACTATGATTATTGAGGTATCCCAGAAGATGTGCACAAATCAAATCAATAACAAACACAGACATATACAGTATGTTACAATAATAGTTGCTGCTACACAACGTATGATTAATAACAATAGATGCAAATAAAAATGTTATACTTAGAATTACCTCTAGAAACTTATTAGGAGAACCATCTAGTCCCTTATTAAACATTAGTGCCTTCTGCATTAAAAAGATGGCTTTGGACAGATTATTCTTGTTGATGTTATCAAGTATCTCTGATTCTGCAATCCAAAAGGAATAAAATAAATAATTACATTTACATGTTTACATAGTACAGGCAATAGTTATATTTTTGAATCGCAGAGGTCTCATTTTACCTGTGTAGAAACTTGTAGACTCACTGCTTTTGTTGTGGCTGCAGTGTTTAGCTGATCGTATTTGTTCACCAGCCACTAAAACAGAAAGAAAGACATGGATACACATTACAGTTATTCTAGGATTTGTGTACTTAGTGAAATTCTGTTTCTTGAAGTTCATTAAGGGACACAACATTTAGTTTATCCGAGACAGCTGGGTTATACTGACTCCTGCAGGTGGATTTGAAATAATGGCAAGCAAAAAAAAAAAGTTGGCCAGTTTGGTATAACCCCTCTCACTCCCACCATGCATTAGTTTGTAGAATAGCAGTGCATAGGGGTTGATCGCAAACACACCGGGTTGGAGCCTGTGTACCTTAACAAACTTTTAGAAACTGATTGTTTTATTTTATTTCTTTTTACCCTGACATATGCTCTGACAGTGGACATGTTTAACTATTAGGTTAAATGAAATGTAAAATTAAATGCTAAACTAAGCTAATACTGCAATGGGAACTACAGACCTTGAAAAAGAGTTCGGTAAACAGCTCTGTAAACAAGTGAACAAGAGAAAACTCATGGCAGGGACCTATCCATAATCAGACAACTCAGTATAATGTTTCAGTCTTTCAGGGACCAGACAGAACACCTCCAGGTGGCACTGTGGCGCTGGAACCAGATCCTGCAGTTCCAGTGCTCACCTGCAAGCGTCTCCAGGCAGCCAGTAGCTGTCAGGGACCTGAGCACCTCCAGGTGGCACTGTGACGCTGGAACCAGGTCCTGCAGTTCCAGTGCTCACCTGTCGGTGTCCCAGCAATCAGTCACCACCCGGTGCTGATCTGGGAGGGTTTTTAGCCTTTCCTTGCAGTGAGGCCTGTGCCTCAGTATTGTTGCCATATCCTGTTTGCTGTAGCCTGTATCCTGTTCCTGCCTTGAACTCTGACCGGACTCCTGACCCTTACCCCTGAGGTCTCCTGATCAGTGGCTCCCCTCTTGTTGTCTTGCTACCCAGGGTTTGCCCTGTTGTCTCTGGTGTGTGACTATAAGCATTGTTTGGTGTGGTCAATTTGGTCGTATGGCCTCGGTATTATGTCACAATACCGTGCACTGGTGTCCCCACACCGCGTGCAGGTATCTATACAGGAGAATCAAATACGTGACCACACCAAACAATGCTTATGAACTATAGTTTATTTGCTACTCCAAAAACACCACAACCATAAGCACCCCCACCAACACCCGCAAGCAACATATAAAAGCCTAACTAATACAAATAACAATCTACACACCAGAGACAACAGGGCAAACCTTGGGGAGCAGGACAACAAGAGGGGAGCCACTGATCAGGAGACCTCAGGGGTAAGGGTCAGGAGTCCGGGTTCAAGACAGGAAACAGGATATGGCTACAATACTGAGGCACAGGCCTCACTGCAAGGAGAGGCTAAATACCCTCCCAGATCAGCACCAGGTGGTGACTAATTGCTGAGACACTCGTAGGTGAGCACTGGAACTGCAGGACCTGGTTCCAGCGTCACAGTGCCACCTGGAGGTGCTCAGGTCCCTGACAGCTACTGGCTGCCTGGAGACACCTGCAGGTGAGCACTGGAACTGCAAGATCTGGTTCCAGCGACACAGTGCCGCCTGGAGGTGTTCTGGTCCCTGACAGAGTCAGAAACCCACAGCCTATATCTGCTGTGCTGTCATTTTAGCTAATCCATACTGCTCTGGAAATCCTTTGTCATGATTTAAGTGGAAGTCTAGCCAAAACCTTATGAGCATTTGCCCAAAGATTTGCTTTAACCTCTTGCCGTCCGCCCGTTAAGAAAAAACGGACGGGCGGCTGACTCCTATCTGCGGGTTGCCGTCGCCAGACGGCATTTTTTTCCTGCCCGCGCGCGCCCACATTTAAACGTAAATATGCGTCGCATGCGCCAGCACGCGAAAATGACAATTGCGCTACACATGTTACATATCGCCGCGAACGTCGCAGTGAGAGCAATCATTTTAGGGCCATCAATCACTGATAACACTAAACTGATGAGCGGTAAAAGCTTTTAATGCGTCGCCTATGGCCAATTTTGGGTAATTTAGTTTTTTTGAGGTTTCGCTGGCGTGCGCAATTTTAAGTCTTGACATGTTTGGTGTCTCTTTACCCGACTAGACCCCATCTTTTATATTTTACCAAAAAATTGGGAAATTATAAATGTTTTAGAATTTAATATAGGGGAAACTTTTTTTTTTTTTAAATCTGTAATTTTTCCTTAATATATAAAAAAATAAAACCCCCAGTGGTGAATAAATACCACCAAAAGAAAGCTCTATGTGTCCCCAAAAAAGGGTATAAAATTCATTTCAGTACAGCGCTGCATGACGGAATAAATGTCAGTCAAAGTACCGCAGCGCTGAATACTGAAAAATGGCCTGGATGGGAAGGGGGTTTAACACCGCGGATGTCAACTGGTTAAACTTGGGAACAGGACTTGATATTTGTTTAACTGTCGAATTTTGTTTAAGTTAGGTGGAACATTTTATGCACAGTCCCCTTTAAAATACAAACAATGTATCCATTCTTGTGGGGGAAAAAACTACTCCTGAATGTTGCACAGTATGTCTTCAGATACATAGATTTACGTGCGTTTATCCATATGTTCAATCAACCCTGCTGCATTAGCATGTTAATTAGCTTTAATGTGTAAAGTGTTGATGGGCACCGTCATAACAATCTTTGGACAGGTATATCACGTCAGGGTCATTTCTTACTTTGCAGACAATTGAGGATTTTGACTGACACACGATGTTGAGCCACAATTAGCTCAAGCTGTAAATCCATCATCGTCACATTATGTGTGAGTGACTTGGAGGAGCCTCTCTGCTCTTCAGCTGTGTTATCTTCATGCTGTTTCTTTATACCCAACTGATGGGAAAGAAAAGAGAGAGAGGATTAGTATGCATTTGTGGTGTTGTTGTTTTTAATTAGTTTATAATCCTAACAAACATTACTTCAAACTTAGAATTAACTAAGACAACTAAGAATTTACAAATCATTAAATATTCAGTAATCAGTAAGAAATCTCCATAATACATGCCTTTTTCATACATTCAGCTGAACAAGAAGAGGTAAATATGAAGAACTACAGCTTGGGACAGGATTATTTAGCCAGATGTCCAGGGTACCCCAGATTTCAGCTGGTAGTGTGACATTAAATACCTTTTTGACTGATGTACTGTATATGTCACTATTTATTAAAGCAAAAAATAGTGACGTACTGTTACCAGAAAAGGCTGGAATTAGGCTTTAAGCTATAAACTGAAAAGATATGGAGAGCTACTACAACCCAGTTGTTATAGATCTTCTCCCCAAGTTTTACCATTTTTGAAGTGTATCAAAAATGTATATATGTTTGTACTTCTAGGAGGTAGCCGCAAGCTCCATCATCACCCATAACTGTAAGAACTTTGCTTGTCAGAACGATCCAGGATTTGGCAAAACAAATAGGGCGTCAGTGGCGCTATTTACCTGCTGCAGTTTTTCTTTTTATGACAAGTTCTCTTTAAGAAGAGTTATCTGAGAATGCCTGTTTGTATCTATCAATAGGTTCACTAGGGAGGATGTGGGCATTTTTTAAAGTAGATTAAAACTCAATCAATAAAAATCTCATATGAGCTTTAACATGTTAATGTACAGGGTGACCGACGGGAGTCGGACGGTGTTGAGAAAAACAGTACTCCATAGATTTTCAACTTGAGATGTATTTATTTTTACAAAAACAGAGGTCAAGACATGCCATTTGAGTTACTTATTCAGTTATGAAAAATAATGTCATTTAGATGACGACCATCCTCTTGAATGCAGCTTTCAATCCTTCGCTTGAAATTGTCCATCACTGTATTTGTATGTATTGCATTCAACGTATGTACGTTGAATGTATGTATTATAAAAGGGTTATTCACTTTTGAGCCGAAGTATCTAGCCATAGCTTTGGCTGATCCTTCGGCTCACTTCGGCTGCCGGATCCCTTCGATTCGACTATTCACAATAGCCCGTACAGCACCTGAAGGCAGCCGAGCGGCTCAGCCGAGTCGAACGCATATGCTTCGGCTCGGCTGAGCTGTAGCCCCAGCCATAAGCAGGGAGAACGGTCTGCGAAGCAGAGCGTTTTCCCCTGCAACTGACAACTGGGCTCCGCCAAGTTGTTGTCATTCAATGACTGCCCAGCGTTCTCAGGTTATTCGAGGACACTGGGCTGTCATTAACTGACCACAACTGGGCGGAGTCGGCCGTGACGTCACGGCTGGCTCCGCCCAGTTGTTTTCATTTGTCCGGGACCTGCGTGAAGTCTCTTGCAGTTGTCGGCCAAATGTAAACAGTTGGGCAGAGCTGGCGGTGATGTCACAACCGACTAGCTCCGCCCAATCGCTTATATTTTGCCGGCATCTGTCAGATTCCTAATTCTGCGGCGGGTGCTCATCGCATGCGTTCGGGTCGGCGGGCATTGGGTTTTTTTTTTTTTCTTTTACTTATTTTTTTATTCATTTTCCTGAGTCGTCGTGGACAATGCTGGATGTCGTGATTGACCCTGGATTACGTCGTTGGACCTTTTTAATAAAGGACTGTGTTTTTATTTCAATTAAATGATTTTTGATTAAAGTCTGGTTTTTTTTTTTGCATTTATTTAACCCTTTAGTGAATGGGCAGGGGTAAAAGTAACCCTTACTCATTCACAAGGGGGGGCCCATCTGGGTGCCCCTTTATTAAAGGGGTACCCTGATGCAAATACAACCCCTTGCACACACCCCCACAACCAACCCCCCAGGGTTTGTGGGGAAGAGGCCCTTGTCCCCATCGGCGTGGGGACAAGGTGCTTTTCCAGGGAAGGGGACCCTGGAAAAGCACTGTCCCAGTGCCGAGGGCATGTGGCCTGGTATGGCAGGGAAAGGGGGGGGGGTCTGGTATGGTTTGGAAGGGGGGCCCCATTCTGGGTTTTTTTTCTTAACATTTTTTTTATTTTTATTTTTATTTTTTGTAATGATTTAACATTTTGTTTTTGTTTTTATTTTGTTTACATTTTTTTCTATTCTGCACGCTACCTCGGAGGTAGTGAGCAGAATAGCCGAGCTGAATGCTGCTCAGAGGCATTCAGCTATTCACTCACTGCTGATCAGCCCCTATGAGAATAGGGGTGAACGGGCGTGTGTGAACTGCCGGAGCTTTGGCTCAGCCGATCCAGATGTTGTCACTTTTTTAGTGTTTAGTTGCACTTTAACAAAAAGTATCTCCCCATAACAGCAAATTAGGTTCTCTTTATTTGTGATGAACTTCTAAGGCTGGGTTCACACCTGTAATGTTCTTATCTCTCCACCGGGGCTCCGACATCTAGATCAACTCCGTCGGAGTTCGGATGACGTCACAGCGACATCACCCGGTTCCTCCACTTTTCCCTACTTAAACAGCCGGGGCTATTTGCCTGACGTTCGTGCTAGGAGCCTGACGCCAGGCAAATAGCTCCAGCAGCAGACCGCCATCTCCCCACACTATTGGGCCGGACAGAGCCCCTCCAACTCCCTACCTTCTGGGCCGGACAGAGCCCTCCTTCCAGGCAGTCTGAGTCTCTCCACAGCCCTGCCCCCAGTCCGCCTACTCACACCTAGGCGTATTGAATATGCGCGTTTGTTGCGCGCTTCGTGACGCGTGTTTTTACCGCGATTCGTGGTAAAAAAAACGTGCAACAAACGCGCGTTCCCAAGGGCTACTTGGCTGTATACCAATGGAAACGCGTGACAAAAACGCCCCAAAGAAGCTCCTGTACTTCTTTGGGCGTAGGGCGCTTTGTAGCGCGTTCATAAGGCCTGTAATACGCCCAGGTGTGAGCCATACCCATAGGAAATAATGGGATTTTGGTGTTTGAGCGTTTTGGAGAGCGTTCGAACGCGCTACAAAACGCCCAGGTGTAAACCAGGCCTAAGATGTATACATAAAACGTCTGTATAAATTGTACTTATTGAACAGCCAAGTAATCATTTGGCCAGGCTCTTAAACTAATATAAATACTGACTAACACATGAGACAAAAAGACTGTGCTGTTGCCATATTCCCACATACTTTTCCTTTACATTTTTGGATCTGCACTGAAAAGCCAGCACATGGAATTCTCTTACTTTCTATAGGCAACAGCTGCAAATGTTTAAAGGCAATTTATATTAATGTGTTCCAACACTATCCTTTATAGTGAACAAATGCATATACAAAACATTCTGTAGAAACACCTTCATGACGTAGTGATCAACTACTGATCCTCCATTTCTTACAGAGTCCTGTGAACGTGACACTGACAGCCCTTTAATTGCTTTTTCTAGAGTTTCATATGCAAAGATCAGCTGGGTAACTGGGGTTTTCTGTAGAAAAACATAAAAGTATAATTAGATGGCTATTTGTTTTAGAAGATGTTTGCCATGCTTATTTTACAATGCTACTTTATCAGAACATGGACAATCCTGGAGTTTTCATTTCCCTCTGACATGGGATCAGTTATTTCTCCCTTACCTTCCAGATAAGGGACTTATAACATTTCTTTGACTTTCCCCCCTCTATGCATGTCCCCTAGGTCAGTGGCTCATAAAGTATTAAAGTTTGTGGGTCAGTGTAACAGCCAAACAATTAGCATTTCCAGAAAAGAAAAGAACATTTTCTCATAACAGTTTCACTTCTACTATTTCTAACAGGTTTACTATACTGCCAAAAAAATATTTTTATCAGTGAGTACAAATGGAGGTATTTAGCAGGTAGCTACTATCTCAGTCTTACAGATACATGCCTTTACACAGATGATACATTTCAAAACAGTATAATCAAAGCTGCACTGCAGACTGCTACATATGCAACAGTGTGTGTGTGATTACAATAATCTGGTAATGTAAATATATAAAATGGTTCATGGATGGAATTTTTGCATTAATCTTGATCTAAGAATATATTAGTACTATGGTTTTAGACTATGTGTGCTTTGTGCATTATTGTCACAAATATTTTGCCAGTAGATCGCACACCTATCTTTGTGTTAGACAGCGAAATTTGATTGATTACTACCATCTGTTGCTAGAAAATCAAGTGCAAGACAAGTTACCTGTAAAATATATTTTATTCCAGGCTATTTCAGCCATGTAACCTTCCAATACATTGTTGCTGATATATAACCTCAACCTATACAGTGCCTTGTAAAATGTATGCTCCCCTAGCTTTCAACGAAACACTTGGTTTGAAATTTTAAATAAGATGTAAATAGGCACTGTTTTGTTTTACTATGCATAGGATATCTCAAAGGAACATACAGTTGTCTACATATACATAACTATCAATGAAAAAATAACATTAGCAACTATAGTAAAACACTTTTTTTTTTTACTATAAATATGTCTATCATGTTTACCAATCTGCATTATGCAAAGAGGGAGACATGTATTAAGTTATGTGGTAGATAACAAATATTCTGCCTACCTTCATAAAACCAGGTCTATTTCTTAGATTACTCAAGTCCATGTTGTCTTTTTCATGTGACCTGTCTGAATAGGAAGAAACAAATATATTTACTATTAATATAATCATTGTGTTTTAATGTTAATCCTTGGTTTTATGTTAGAACATGCATCAGACCGAACTACAAAACAATGCAAATATAGCATCCTGTCTTTACAAAACAAATTAAAATGATGATAATGAACAGCATAAAAATAAGCCCTCAGGATAAAATTATAATACTACAACATATTATTTTATTCATCTATTCTACATAGTGTAGGTAGAATCTCTTAAACCCTCAATATTCTTCTTATGATTTAATATAGGTTATAATATTTTTACCATTAAAAAACACAAAATGAGTTTATAACATGTTGCAAACTGGTTATTTTGAAAACACACTATTATTATTATTATGTAAGAATGACAGCAATTTTTATTTTAATTTCCATTGTCTTCAATACTGGATATTAATTTAAAAAAAAAAAAGAAGAGGAGAGCTCATAAACAGGGCATATTATCACAACAAACAGCAACCATCAATTTAAGCGTTGGAAACTGTGAAAAGTACATGGTATGGCATGTCTTACAAAGAAGTATGTAGTGCTTTTGGCAAAAATAACAACAGTTGTAATGTCACACTGAGATTATACTGCTAGAAATTTTGTGATCTAAACCCAAAGTCCAAATAAAATATGGGAAAAGTTACATTAAGCATAAAAATTAAATAGTGTTTTGCAGAACAAACCAACCAATGTACAACAACATACACCAGAATGATTGCATTTGCTTGTCCTCAAACTCACTGTAATGTGTTTTACGACATAACACCATCTATAATATTTGTCACAACCTATTCCACAAATATTTGTACACAACTTGGATTTCTCTATATATAATAATTACCTCTGGTGGTGAGAAACAATTGATACCGTCATCTGAAAGAAACCTAAATTGCCTGATCCTTGCCAGATCATATCAGGCAATATTGAAATCATTCCAATAACTGGTTATGTATAGCCGCCCTAAGGTTACTGAATTTCTGTTGATATTAGTGGTTTGACTTGTTTATGTAGCAGTATAAGTGATAATGTTCACAGGCCAGTTGTCAACAAATGAATACGTAAAAAGGTTTTATAGTGAGCAGATCCTGAGTGACTGGTGCCACACCCCTAATATAGTCGACAAAATGTATGATAGAAATCAATTTTGACCAGGTCCTTAGATCTTTATCATTCAATCATACCAGTTCTCTGGTCATGTTATATGCCTTAATCATGGTATTGAGTGGCTCTTGGAGGTACCTTTCTATTATGATGTACTTATGAATTTTAATCATGGTTTTTATATTTTTGTATTCAATAAAATTATATTTTTTTTAATTCAAGCATTATCGTGTTTCATTGGACTTGTCATATGGGGACATAAAAGCACCACTGATTTCTATCCTACATTTTGTCGTCAACAAATGAATGGCATGAAAATGCTCTATGAATAGAGTCAACCAGTAATTTGTGATGGCAACTGCTGGATAGTATTTTTCTTCATTTCCGCCTGTAGGAGCTCTTGGTGAGACTAGAGCAGTTTTGCTTTTCAGGATTAGTAGGAAAGCTTTTGAGCCAACAAAGGGAAAGTTTTAAAGGTACATGCCAGTCAAAAATAAAATATTAGGCCATGAACAGCATACAGGGGTCCACTCTACCACCTTGCAAAGAACATTATCTAATGTTTGGTCTCTAAGTCCAGTAGCTATTTATGGTTATGTCCACCGGTCTTTACTATCTGTGGAGTTTCCATGTTATTTCTGGGATTTGATCAGGGCTCTTCATCACAAGTAAAGCAGGTTAATACAATGTTTGCATTATGTAAATATTATTATAATTATTACCCAGAAGCCTTCCATTTTCTTTAAGATGACCAGAAGTCTTATCTAGTTACCTCAAAGGAATGTAAGAACAGTAATCATTCAAGAGACTGCAGTTTAAGGGTTGCCATACACTTTACAACCCTCGCAAGACTTTTGTCTTGCGAGGGTTGTAAAGTAATTTAAAAAACGTACAATCTGCCCATCTTGGACAGGCAGATCGTACATGCGATCATCGCAAGCCCGCCCCCCTGAGGGGCGGGCTTCCGATGACTGCAATGCTGAACGGGCAGTGTGCGCGTGCGCACACCGGCCCGTTTGGCAGTTGTCGAACAAGCAGGCCACTAGCCCACGATTCTCGGCGGGTTTTCCAGCATGCTTGTTCGACGGAAGATGTGCGACCATACATAGAAACGGTCGCACGCCTTCCATACACTTTGCGATTATCGTACGATCGTGGGACTTCCCGCGATTCTCGTACGATAATCGTAAAGTGTATGGGCACCTTAAGTGATACCATTTATTGAGTAAATTGAATTATTAAAGATGCATGCTTTTGGGATGCCTTAGATCCTTTCATCAGGCTTTATAGCAATGAAAAATAACGGTTTGAAAAAATACAACTATTGTTTTTTGACACACATCTTATCTCTAAGCTAGTGACCCCAATAACTCTCATAAGTACTGATCTCTATCTCTATATAGACTAATCCTTTACAACTGCAAGAGTGTCAAGAAAAAATTGTTGTGGGTTTCGTTCTCAGAATTGCATAGAGCTTGAAGAAGGGATCTAAGGCATCCTGTAGGTGTACATGTTTGATAACCTAAGTTAGCCAACAAAAGTGTAAATAAAAGTGTAAATAAAAGGCATCCCATAAAGTTCAACATTTCTGCAAACAAAATGTAAAGGCTAACAGGATACAATACTCTATAATTGGATTAAAAAAAAAAAAAGACTGAAATTATGATGACATTACCAAGGATGCCCATAAGAACACTTTTTTCACCTGCTAACTATTAACTATTGCACAAGTTCTTAGCCAAGCAAACAATCCACAGTAGCTGGACCAAGGATGTGATTATGTGGCATATTGGAGGAAGAACAGGACAGCACTCAATGATGAGTGCTCTACTCTAGAGAAATAGTCTGTTGCATGTACTGACCAATTTAACTGTGACACTGTGAGAACTATTTCTTAAGGCTTCTGGTACAAATCCACTAGAGACAGGATAAATTATCTACTACAATTACTCTGCCTAAGCTTTTAATATCTATTATAATAAGGTATCACAGAAAGTGCAGTGACATCAGTGAGTCAGCTGAGCATAGGATTCTGATGTGAGAAGTGGCAGTAAAACACAACCATGGTGTAGCACTGCAAAACAGAAAGGAGAGTCTGTGTATCTAATAAGTAAATGTGGTTATTCCATTTACTGTATATATCTAAAAAGATACATATAAACAAGTTATTTTAAATATAGGCACATATTAACAACATTATACATCAAGGCAATCTCGTTTACACATATATCTAAGAACATGATTAAGAAGACTAGAACTTCCCTCTCGCCACCCACATATTTCTATGACCTCCTTAATTATGTGCACTTAATGTGATGTGCTTGATTTAGTTTGATTTTCAATGCAACTTATTATGAATTCAGTGAGCCTATTGAGGTTGCTTTCTACCACATTTTTTGCTTCTAAATATTCTACATCTATAAGCTACCAATACCAAACATAACCCAAGTGCAAAATTCTGTGAATTCACATGTATTGTATATTGTATTCATCTCCTTATTGTATTCATTGCCTTCTGTCAATTTACACTTTCTGCGGTGATTAAGAACACCTTGACCTAAGCACACACTCTTTTGATCTAGAAAACCATCCTGCTACTTTAAAAAATGTTATCTGTTTATTCCTCCTACTCGCATTATAAGACATGAATAATACTATAAACAGATTTGTCCAGGGTTAAATAATACAAGCATGTCCTTTGATCAGAAGGTTAATACACAGATTACAGGAATTGTAGTACCATGGATAAAATATCACTTTTTTTCCACAGGTCAATTATATATTTCAGCTTCTAGCTATACCGCTAAGTGGTTTATTTTACAAGGTCTCCAGAATTGGATTCTCCAGGCTCTAAGTTCAAAGTGTCCCTCTGGGTTAATTGTCCTGTTGTCTGACGAATATCCTTGCGGCAGAAAACTAATTTCCACCATGGTCAAAGGGTCCTAGTTCAAATTCACTTTGGCAGTATGTTCAGAAGAGCTCACAAACACATTCCTACTCAGGGTTATAAATGTGCTATTTTTGTTAATTAAATCAATCTTTCCATCTACTTGCAAAAGTGTACTCATTGTACTTTACTTTTCAATCTGCGCATCCTGAGTACTATGTGCAGATGCACCACAGTAAGCGTTTACAAGGTCTAAAGCACTTATGTATTCCCTTTTAAACTATTTGCTATTTTGATTTCTTTCATACAGAAATATGTTGTTGGTCTGAGTCCACACATTCAGTCCTGTTTTACTCTGACAGTACACAAACCTAAAGTCTATGTAAACTTCTTTGATTTTCTCCCTTGTGGTCTATTAAATATAACATTGAAAGAGTTATGTTATATCGGTTTGGTAAGTGCCTGTTGTTCCTGCCAGAATTCCAGTGAGCATATAACTTCAAGCATGGGATATTCCTATGCTCCATAGCTCCATCTCCTTGCCATAATGCGGCATGAATCTAAAACTAAAATGACTGCAGGGTGAACAGCTCTGTGGACGTTTTATAAACACAGCCCTAAGCCTTTTTCATGAAATAGCTCCTTTGAAGCAATTATATCAAATGACCAAACAACCTCTCTCTGTGGAGGTTTACGGCCAATATAATTCCCATAATATCACTAAAAGTAAGATTAAAAACCTTAAATAAATAAATAAAACAGTTAATTTGCAACACTCACTAGCATAAGCTAACAAAACACATAAGGAATACTTAGTAAAGTGACTGTACTAGTATTACTATGTTAATTCCCATGATGCTGCAATAGTAATGCTTTATTAGTTTATTATTGATTGGTGTACTATAACAGCTTCTGAATTTCTTAGCAAAGTCTTTCATTTACTGTCTATTATGAGGCTTTGTTACCTAATACAAGATTCCCTAAAGCAAGGTTGCAACTAATTAAATATCTCTTCTATTCAGTCTGTAATGTAGATAAACATAAATTGTGAATTTGTACAATAATGTTAATTTCACATGACTTAAAGACAAACACACTAGTTTATAATCATTGTCAGATATGTTGGGGTGAATATGTTTACATAGCAGATGACTGCCATGAAACATGTGCACCTGCTGACTTCATCATTAAATAAAGCACACGTCTTCCAAGACAAGACTTACAACTTACCAATGTAGATACCTGCAAGACCAATGATCACTGCTATACTTATTTCCATAACACTCGCTGAAAAGTGAGAACTTAGATCAAGTGCATATTCCTTTACCTCTTACCAGGGGCATACCTGCAGAAAATAGCACCCATACCAAGCCACAATTGTGCCAATATCCAAACATCTAACACCCATGCACACACTTTAGTGGTACACATATACAGCTAATCCTGCCTATGAAGTGATTAATCTGTACGATGTTTACAATGTACTGCAACAAAACTGACATTTAGAAAGGAAAAAAACAAAATTTCTTGGTAAATGACATTTCTTTGCCTGCTTGGTTTAACCACCTCCTATCCATTAACCGTTCCTAAGCGGCTGGACGGGAGCCATGTAGATGCAGGTGGGCGTTGTAAGATGCACAAGCTAGGCGCCGTGTGGGAAAACTACATTAAATGTAAACAGCCAGCGATGGCTGTCTAAATACAAGCGTTCCAGCGCCGGTAGAGAGGCCCGATCGCTTGTATTTTGTGTGGGTGTGCAGCCCCCCCTGCTTCCGCCATCACAGCGATGCGGGCTGGGACCAGCACAGCGGCTCTGTCACCGGAGATCAAAGGGAGAACAGTACATGATCTCCCTCTGATCTCCTCTCCGATGGTGTGAATGCGGAAGTGATGTATCATCACTTCTGCATTCAGCTGTGATTCCCGACTACAAAAGCCGGAGAGAAGCTGGTGGTGCAGATCTTTTCTTCATCAGCTTCTCTGGGGATCCCTAGGTGACAGGGGTCTTGGAGACCCCTGATGTCTCATAAAGAGGATCTGTCATGTAAATTGGCTATCACATGGAGGGCTTCTTAGCAATAGCAGTAAAGTTAAGTGGGGGGACAAATTAGACGCATAAAAAAATCAAATCACATCTAAAAAAAATTTTAAAATCACAAACATTTTTTAAAGCCCCCCCGCCCCAACATACACACGCAAACATGCGTTAGGTGCGCCTACGTGCGAAGACAACGATTGTGCCGCACGTTACATATCACAGCGAACGTCAGAGAGAGAGCAATAATTCTAGGGCCATCAATCACTGTTAACGCTGAACTGATAAGCGGTAAAAGCTTTTAAAGTGTCGCCTATGGCCAATTTTGGGTGTGGTAGTTTTAGATTTTGTGGGCGCGAGCAATTTTAAGGCTTGACATGTTTGGCGTCTATTTACCCGACGTAAGTGATGGGACCATGGACTATCTATTTACCCGACATGACCCAATCTTTTAAATTTACCAAAACATTGTATCATCACATTGCATCGGGAAACATGTTTTTTTCAAAATTTTCAGTATTTTTTTGTTATATAGTAAAAAATAAAAACCCCAGTGGTGATTAAATACCACCAAAAGAAAGCTCTATCTGTGCCCCAAAAAATGGCATAAAATTAATTTCAGTGCAGCGTTGTATGACTGAATAAATGTCAAAGTACTGCAGCGCTGAATACTGACAAATGTCCTGGGCAGAAAGGGAGTTTAACACCCTGGTCTTCAAGTGGTTAAATGAAGAAAAAAAAAGTGCCCACCCCCCTTCCCACAAGATTAATACTAGACCCTTATTTTTGATGAGGATCTGGTATAGATATTAAGGGGCAACCCCATGCAAAGAGAAAAAAAATGGGGAAATTCATACCAGACCTTTAACTGAGCATGAAAGAAAAGGAAAAGGGGGATGCAGCCAGTTTGTGGTCCCCTCTTCCTAAATCTCATCAGGCCACATGCCCTAAAATGGGGAGGATTTCTCCCGGAAATGCACCTTATCCCCCATGTTGATGAGGACAAGGGCCTCTTCTACGGTCCTCAAGAGGATGTGTGGAGTCTGTGGGCTTATCGATATTAGAATCTGGAAGTCTCCTTTTAAATAAGAGGGCCCCCAGTGATTCAACCACCCCAACATGAATAGGTAAGGGGTACATAATACCCATACTCATTCATAAAAAAAAAAAATGATAATGTAAATATAAGATACTGACACTTTATAAAAACTAAATTAAAAAAACGGCCTACACAGCACATCCATGGTCAATCATGTTGTCCAGTGATGCAGAGCCTTGTCAGTAACAAAGAACGACGACACCAACCGCATCCGAAACAAAAAATACACCGACCGTACCCAACAATCTTATATTGTTCGACATGAACAACAGCTCCTGGCCCGGCAACTGAATATAAACAAATGGGCAGGGTTGCTGGAGATGTCATTAACTAAAAAAGACCATGTCCATATGTGTATTTATTACTGTTTTTAGCAGGATTAAACATAGGAAACTACAGGCACCTTCTAGTGGTTAAAATAGATGACAACGAGAAGATAAAAGGGACAGACTGACAGTCAGTATTTAACATACAATGCTTTGATATTTTTAACTCTTTGTTAGGACAGACAGTCCTGCTCATCTAGTTTACAAGGGATGATTAAATCTACCAGCACACTACAAACATGTTTAATTATTTGAAACAAAAAACTCCCCCAGCCCCATTAGACAGTGAGAACAAAGCAGGATGTATTAGTCCTGGATATTGCAGAAAGAGTATCTAAAAAGTAATCTACAATTTTTGGATATTTTTTAAAGCTATGTTAGGTGAATGGGAACATGTATCAAATATAAAAAGGTGTTATTCAAATTTGGCTGCGAAAGTGAAAATACATTTAAAGAGACTTTGGAAAACTGTGTTAAGTGCATTGCGAAGGTACTAAAAGATATGAGGCACCCCGGGACATCCATATAAAAAAATGTTTTTGAATTCAAAGCACATTAACAAAAAGCAGTTTCTTCTCCCCCATGTCTTTCCTCACTTTAACTGTGGCCAGATTATGAGCATTCAATAATATTTACATTATTCTTCACAAACAGTAATTTAGCCTAAAAACAAGTTCTCGCTGCCCTTTAGTTGTAGGCACTGTGGATAATTCACCCTCAAAGCTCCTAGCAAAAGTGGAAGTCTTTACCAGTTAAGTTTACCCTGCTGCCCCCTTACAGTATTAACTTGGTAGCCATCCAGACTTCTATGTGGCTGTAAAATATTGTGACCCCACAGTCACATGTATAATGTCATTACTATGACAGCAATGTCCAAGTCAGTATTATGCTGCCATTGTAGGTACTGTCATGTCACAAAGAGTAATATTTAAACAAACAGATTGAATGAAAACGTTTGTATGTAGAATTTAAACAACACCAAGCCCTCCTAAGTCCAAGCTTAAAGAGTGTATTGACCTCACCCCACATCCGCACGTGATAGTGCTTGGACCTAGAAATCGGCCACTCAGACACCATGCAATGCCTGAAGGTATGAAGTACTTCCAAGTACTCTGGCAGTTGCACATAGTTGTGCATGATGCTTTTAACGTAAAGCATATCTTAACACAAAAGCAAAAAAAATAATATATTGCAGTTTAGATGTGGTGACTGCATTATTTTTCCTTTCTGTTTTTTTCCTTTATTTTCCTCTGGATATACTGGAAGTAACACACTTCCTGGCCTGGGATGACAATGCTCAGTCACCGTACTGTATTACTGGAGAGGTAGAATGGTGACCCAAGCACAGGAACTGTGCTGGGACTACTGAACCCCTCCCTCTCTCCTCATCTCCATTATATAGGGTTTATGTGTTCTATTGTCCACAAAGAGAATGGGGGGACAATGCTTACTGATAACAGTTAATACAGGCAAAGTGCACAGAAAGTCATGAGCTTACAAGATTTCTGGAACGATCAAAAGGTATTTTTTTGCATTTATTGAACAAATATAACAAAACACCTTCAATGGTTTAATATATAATAAATGCTTTGGTCACATTCAGGGCAAAGGGATAAGTGTACTTTAAGATAAACTTATTAAACTTGATGACATGTGCATAATTTTAACGTTTCAATGATAGCATAAGTATCTAAATGATTGGGAAATAAAACATAATAAAAATCTTAAGGTAGTGGACTTTCTTCTATCTTGTTTTAAGTGGCAGTATAGACCAGCTATCGTATTTACATCCTTTTCATGATATAAATAATGAACAATAAATTAGATTTAGACTTTCTGTTAAGAGCAGCATGCACAAGAAAGCAAAAGCCAACATAAAGAAGAAAAATGTCCTTTGCAGGATTTTGATATCCATTTGACATTTTGCTATTAGTAAGCTTTTGGTAGCTGAAAACTGGAGGCTGGCACATGTTCTTTCTCAACTTCACATTAACGTTGAAGGCTATACGTAATGAGTTCACTTTGGCATCTAAGTCATCATATTCTTTACGCAGATCTCAATGTTTTGGAGCTGCGAATGTCATTTTTCTTGGAAGAAAAAGAAAATGCAGAGTGACATTGTCATTTCTCTCCAAGTCGGAAAATAGAAAAATACGGAGAATCTCTTCATCCTGCAATGTTTTTTTATCCTTGCGGAAAGTCTAAAAATCAATTAATATTTCTCCACATATTACAATAGACTTGAACAAGGCATGAATGGTGTATTTGAATTCAGCATAGCCGTCTGACTAATTAAATTGTGAGAACTGATGAGTATTACTGGGAAGTGCCTGCTGGGTAGGCTCTTGAGACTCGTTATGATTTAAGCCACTCAACTGGTTCCCAGTTTAAAAAAATAACGATTTATAAAGATACAAAGAGTCTACATTAAGCACAAGCCCACATGATCAGCTAAGCTACTGTCTATAGATGTCAGTGGAGTCAAATTTAAAGTGTATTTTCACCATTGCAGTCAAACTGGGATAAATCCTACTAGATTTAGATTGTAAGCTCTCACAGGCAGGGCTCTCCTAAAACTATTGTACTGAAATTGTATCATAACTGTACTGTGTCCCCCATTTTGTAAAGTGCTGTGCAAACTGTTGGTGCTATATAAATCCGGTATTATAATAATATTATTTAATAATAAAACCTACATTATATTTGTTAAATGTTCCCATTCAGATATCATAACTTTAAAAAATTGCCTCTTTGCTCTGACCATGTGTGTGTGTGTGTGTGTGTGTAGGGGGGGGAAATCAGCTCAGGTCAAAAAGAATAAGTGCACTTTGTTTTAAATGGGATGCACCGATACCTTTGCAGCCAATCAGCATCGATCCGGCTGTTCGGCCAATCAGGAAGCTGAGAGGCGGGTCATTACTCGCCGCTCAGCCTCCTGACCGCAATGGAAGCTGGCTCAATGTTCTCCTTCCTCTGACCAGAATTTCGGGTATCAGTGAAGGTATCAGAGCATTTGGGCACGTATGAGTACGCGCCCAAATACTCTGTATGGGTGCATCCCTAGTCTTAAAGTGCACTTATCCTTAAAAATACATTTTAAAATTGATGCTTATCTTTTTACTTCCTCTTTTCTGAAAACTCCAAAACTGAAAAATCCTATTTAGCCTTTCCCTTATATTCAGTGATAATGTGGGGGGTGGGGAGTCATGTTTATCATAATAACCCCTGTCTGTGCTATGCTGGCAGATCTTCATTATCAGTGGTAAACTGATATCTATGTAAAACATAGTTGACTCTTTCAGGCATCTAACATTCTCTGATTCACCAGAGAAGAATTTGATAATGTACCTGACTTTCTTCCAGATTTCTTAGAGGTATCAGCCAAAGATTCAGCAATTCCTGCCAATCGTAATGCAGCTTCTCCCAGTATTACAGCATCTGTATCCATAATGCTTGAATGTTGCATAACTTCATAGACAAGACAAAGGATATAGATCCACTAGATGAAAAAAAGAAAAATGTTTATATAAAAAAACAATTAACCACATAATGATACGATTTGTATGACATCACATGATGAGGTCAACATCAGAGCAGTATGAAGCTTGTACAGAGAAATAACTAAGCTGCTGTTTACTACTATTACTACTATTTTCTCTACATGCCTATGTATTTATTTCCACAGCATCCCATATCATACCCTTAATCAGCTCCCCCTCCACATTTCCTTCCATGATCAAGAACATGGCCTCATAAGTGCTTAATGTCCAGGCAACAACAAGGGTACCAAACATCAAGAGCAATCAGTGTTGTAATTAGCATGCATGAAGATATGAAATGTGCAATAAACTTGCCACCAGCATAATAATATTAGCCGTGTTTTAGCAGAGCTCTAGCCAAATAGTAAAACACGCTGTTTAAATACATACTGTATATACTGTTTTACCGTTTTACCTACCAAAGAATGTATAACTTTGTACAGCTAATCCTGCGATTTACACATATTTCTCACTCTGCACATCCAGGCTAGTGACATGCCAGCATTTTTAATGGACAATATTTGGGCAAAGCTGACTCCAGTTTTTTATTCAACAGTATATCAGCATCATCATTTTTGTTCAATTAGAATGGAGGATATCCAGAAAGCAGTAAAGCTGAATCAGGTAGTATAGTTATCTTGCTGGTTGTATGGTATATCAGTATCATAGATTTGTGTTCAATTAGAATGGAGGCTGTTCAGGAAGGAGTAAAGCTGAACCAGGTAGTACAGTGATCTTCCGGGTTGTATAGTGTATCAACATCATAATTTTGGTTCCATTAGAATGGACGATATCCAGAAAGGAGTAAAGCTGAATCAGGTAGTATAGTGATCTTCCTGGTTGTATAGTATATCAGCATTATCATTTTTGTTCAATTAGAATGGAGACTTTTCAGGAAGGAGTAAAGCTGAACCAGGTAGTACAGTGATCTTCCTGGTTGTATAGTGTATTAGCATCATCATTTCGGTTTAATTAGAATGGAGGATGTTCAGGAAGGAGTAAAGCTGAACCAGTGATACCAGTGAAGCTGAACCAGTAAAGTTTAACAAGGATCTTCCTGGTTGTGTTATGTGGCAGGGGTGTGTGAATCACAAGAATGTTGGAACAGAATTTCAAATTCTCTAACAGATAAAGCAGTAAACGTTCAGTATGTGTATTTCAACTCTGCACTCAACTGTCTGCAAGCTGATTTTACATTTTGAAAGGGAACTAAAAACCCAGAGGGCCCTCAGTAAATGTTTAATTTTGAACACAAGTCAATGGCTATCTGTTTGAATGTCATTCACTTTCAGGATATACCATATTCTCAAGCTTTTAGCTCACACTGCCAGAAGCCAGAACCTTTCTTATAAGGATAATGCTAACAAAACCATTTGAAAGATATCGCTTTCTGTCAGAACACTTGGAGCTGATTTAGAAAAACTGCAGCAATAGAGGGAAATAGGAAGCTTTACTAGCACATCCTTAGTATTGTAATGATCTTAAAATGTATTTAGTCACATAAAGCAACAGACATTCACAAGCCATCATTTTGGAACCTTGCAGGATCCATTTCTCAAGGTAGAATGAGATCCTGGGAGATCTCGATATATCAGCTTGTGATGTCTGTTGTTTTATGTTAATAGAAGACAAGATCGTCACTATCATCACTAGGTGTGCTGGTGATGATTCTTATTTTTTTTTCTTATGATTGGCAAGCCACCAAATTACTACAGCACCCTGCATGAACCATGGGCAAGCCTGTAAGGTGTGCAACACATTAAACTTGAGTTGTGCTAATCAACTAATCAGTGTTGAAGTGAAGAGCTATCGGAGACTGATCTGAGCAACGGACCTTTGCTGCACTGCCTGTAAATCAGACACATGTGCTCATGTTATCCAGATACCACTGAATTAAAAGAAATGAATACATGCAACCAGAATCAATAGCGCTTCCTTTTATTCTCCCTATCCAGTCTTCTTGTGGTGCATGGGAGCTCCATTATACCTACAGAGAGGAGCCATTATCCTAGTCTCACCTTAAATCGGACTATAAAGCAAATGATTGATGGTGAAATCCAAAATTGAAGGGTGAGGGAACTAGTTGCTACACCACAAAGCAGACCAGGGGAGGTATGCATTTTTTTGTGGAAAGCCTTAATAAACATTTGTTTTACAATAAGGAGACATAACAAACAGACAATGTTCAATCTGTGACAGAACTAAAAGGGGGATTGGATATATCCACAATTATTCTAACATACCTTGCTATTGAATTCACACTTTTGTGCAAATTTGGATCCATCAATTATGCCAGTGTGCAATTTCTGAACTCCTGTCTTGCATTTTTGCCACAGAAATAAAATAACATCAATAACAATATCTCTGTCAGGTTGGACATCCTGGAAGAAATGTATATTGTGTTAATTAGAAAGAAGCAAGCACAACTCACGTTTAGTCACCGGTGGTAACATATAAATAACAATACCTATGCAATTACTTGTACATGACTTATTTACACACATGTGACCTTTGACTGAATTGATCAAACGGCCTTAGAAAGAAGGCCAAAGGTTGAAAGAGAATGTGCCCATCTGTGCAGGGGTTTACAAAACACAATGTAAAGGATTAGTAGCCTTTAGAAACTGATATCTTTGCGTAATGAAGGATTTTCATTTCAAAACGAATGACAGTCTTTTGGTTTATTTAAATGTCCAAGGGATTAAATTGGGTCTTATCATTAAAATTCATACATAACACGAATCAATAGGGTAGTCATCAGGATTTCAAATTCATATTTTGTCTTGTTAAAATTACACCTTTCTTGCCATGAAAAAACTACTGCTTCCTATTGTGACCAAAAGCTTAAGTAGCCAAATTCACAAAGTCTCCGGCAGAGCATTGAGAGCCCTTCACATCTTTAGAGATTGCAAACAGTCTGTTGCCTTCAAACTGAGCCTGTCTGGGAGCCTTGCAGTAAAATTAGAGGATCAGCAAAGCACAATCCTTGAACTGCCTGCATATTGTAATAAGCAACCATTGCCAGATTTTAATGTATTCATTGAAAAGAATACTGTGCTATATTACACGTACAGAACATGTAGAAATTATTAAAATAGATCCTAGTTAAAGGTACAATATAAGAACTCATCTTAGTTGTACATCAACAAATTCTCCTATATTTCAATGCAATGTGTACATTAGAATGTTACACCTGTGCTCACAGGCAGCAGTAACATATGCAAAATATTCCATTTGAAGTATTATAATTCAGAACACTGAATTTTAAAGAGGAATTACATATATAAGTGGTATGTATACTACTGATGTCGGGAGGAATTAAAAAGATGAGTCTATGGAGTCCTGGGACGGCTGTGTGAACCGACACTTGTGGGCTCTTTGGGCAACCTCATTTACCATCTTGAACAGAATATGATGACTTAAGAAGATCTAAGAAGAGTATGAACATTTTTTTCTTTAAAAATATTAACAGGGATAAAAATCAGCCTATGAACCTGCATGAAACTGTCCATACATTTGACTTTGTGCTCAGGGAATATGCCATAGCATTACATGACCGCATTATGAAGTATTTACATTTAGGAGCACAAGTGTGCACATTTTTTTCACCCTCACATCTCATGGAGAAATGATATATCATCAAAGGCACAGCTTAAAACCAATAAAGGGGACCCCTGCAAAGTGAAATGAAATGCTTATCAAGGCAGATCATGCCCTATTTATTGAGGATATGGAGATTAATATGCAGAGCTTTCGAGTTATCAGCAGATAAAATGTATTTTGTATGTATTTGAACAGAATAGTAATGTGTTATTTGTAGACACAAATATAAATACATATGGCTCCCTGTTTCTCTTTTAATATGTTAGCAATGACTGTTTACCCAGAAACAATTACATCCTTATATTTAATACAAATATGGAGTTGACCATTATGTCTTTGGACCACAATAAGGCACACAAAAACCTCATAATTGGATTGGTATTTTTATCCATGTTAGCTCCCATTTTTGGCTGTCACAAACATGGTAGTAGGAGCCATTAGTTAGAACAATGCAATTCACAACACTGTGTGTGATGCAACTACAGCTAAAGCTGAATATCCAGAAAGGAAACTCGTCTGCAACCATCAGATCTTTTAACTAAAATCTATCTTTGTGTAAGCACACCACCATTTTAGAGGTTCACTGACAATTTGAGACTAATATATTTTATGCTTGGTTAATGATAAGATGAATGCGTTATGGGGTTTTATCAGATGCAGGTAATATAATACTTGAAGTGCTATAACCTTTTAAAAGAGCTTTTATAATGGTTATGGACCATACAGATGTTGCCAATAAGAGGGCGGCAGGAAAGGGACTAGGGCTGCAAGAACGAATCAACATAATCGATTATTGAAAAAGTTGTCAACTTTTTCAATCATCGATTAATCGGCTTCCGATTAGTTGGCCCTGTTCACGGCTCCACACACGCTGCGCACCACACTTCCTCCCCACCTCATGCTCGCCACTGCCAGAACCGCCCGCATCCACGCTCCACACGCCGCACCTCCTCCCCACCTCACGCTTGCCGCTGCCAGACCCACCCGCATGCACGCTCCACACCTCCTCGCGCTCACCGCCCGCCCAAATCCACGATCGGCACAGGGACGCAGGGAGAAGAAGTGAGGAGCAGGTGTGGGCGGATGACAGCCGCAGATAGGCAGGCCCGATTTCAGAAACAAGTTGCTGGAAGACTGCTCAGGTAAGCCTGCACTTTCCCACACATGGTGCTCTATAAATGTATTGCTGGGAATTGTATTCCTCTATAGCTGATGGTACATTGTGCTGTATATTATACATAGGAATACAGATCCCAGCAATACATTATACATTGTATGTATAATGTATTGCTGGGATTTGTTGTATTCCTATATAGCTGGTGGTATTCTGCATTGCGCTGTATAGAGGACTACAAATCAAGGGATAACACATTATACAGCCCAATGCGGAATACCACCAGCTATAGAGTACAACAAATCCCAGCAATAGTACATTATACAGTGGTGCAATGCCAAATACCACTCGCTATAGATGACTACAACACCTAGCAATACTACATTATTCAGCGCAATGCAGAATACCACCAGCTATAGAGGAATACAAAACCCAGCAATAGTACATTATACAGCGCAATGCAGAAAACTGCCAGCTATAATGTACTATTGCTGGGATTTGTTGTATTCCTCTGTAGCTGGTGGTATTCTGCATTGTGCTGTATAATGTACTATTGCTGGGTTTTGTAGTCCTCTATAGCCGATGCCATTCTGCATTCATTGCTGTATAACTTTACACTTTTAATTTCACTATATTGCACACCACACTTTTTTACTTCCACCACTCCAAGCTTGCTCCTGTGATGGACTGCAATCTCAATACAAACTAGTAGTCCCATCACTGGAGCCATTTTTTAAAATTTATTTTGTAATATTTTATCTGATTAAATCGAACTTAATAATCGGCTAACTAATCGATTTTGAAAATAATCGTTAGCTGCAGCTTTAAAAGGGACATTGTGTGCTCTATGTAATAAAACATAATAAATAATAAACATAAAAATAATCCTTCCTCCCACTTTTTGTTTATTTGCTGCAGAAAATGAATCCTAAAAGTTTCATTTGTAATTTGCTTAGAGACACATGGACATATTTAACCTGTGTTTTTGATGTATAATCTATTTAACTTGGAACTGGCATGCAGATAGGTACACCCTTCAAAAGTTTATTCGTCGACTGTTTTACCTGCCAAAGGATTTGTAATTCCATGCATGCAATTTACATATTGCTGCAACATTGTACAGCAAGGCAGATGACAAGTTTAATTTCTAGTTCGGCAATGTAGCTTCCTGTGTTACCTTTCCACCTTCAGTATTATTGTTGAATAGGTATCATCACCTCTGTCTAATTAGTAGCAAGATCCAAAAGCAGTTAAGCTGAACTAGAAGGTATCGGAGTGATCTTGATTGCTGTGTAGTGTGGCAAATGAGAGTGAATCACCAGAGTGGCTTAACAAAATTCTAAATCCCTTGGCAAGAAAGCAGTAAGCTTATCTGTATGTCAACTTGACCGTTTGACTTACAGACTGTGTCTAAAACAAATCTTTACAAACAGAAGAAAAGCTGGTGCACACCGGGATGGTTTATTGAAGATGGAACCACATCACTGGAGTCTCCCCCACGGTTCACCCCCCTCTGATGTATTTCACTCTACGACTAAGCCACGTTGGGTGAGGGAGGTGGACCTTGGGCAGGACATTACTGGTGTGGTAGAACCTTCAATAAAACTATCCCAGCAGAATCCGGTGTGTTCGGCCAGCTTTTTTTCTGTTTTTATGGGCTCATACTGGAGTGAGGACTTGCTCATTCTTTCCCTGAGCCATGGAGGAGCCATGCTTCTTTCCTGTGTCCAATTTTAATTGTGAGGCTATTCCTTTTTGTACTATTTTTCCTTTTCAAATTAAACTGCATCTTTTTTATAATTTTATAATGCTTCCCCATGCAAACGTTCTAACTCTCCATAGGCACGTAAAAATATTTATAGTTATTTTTAATAAAAACAAATATATTAACAATTTTCTTATAAATAAACTGACCATTTGAAACACTAAAATAATATATGTCATACAGGACATCATTTGGTAATCCTCTGTTTTCTTTTGAATCAAAAAATTAATTCCACTTTCAATTGTTTTTCTATCTTGAGACGATGACAAGAGCCCAAGCAAGCCCCGTGTTTCCTCACAATAAGAGAAGGAGAGCAATCCCCATGTACAGTCCCTGTGATTGATTTATATGCAGACCTAGACAAAACCTGTCAAGTTTCACTGATTTCTTGTCAGTTTCACTGACTGTTTGCAGTGACGCATACTTTAATGGATTATCTATCACTCACAGCATTCGATAATTTCTCATTTAAATTTCAGATTCTTTTGTGAAAAATAAAATGGGCACCTATTTTTATTTAAAGTTCTTCTGTGTATCGCAATGTGGCTGAAGATATTATGGTTATGCACAAATAGAAAATGCAAAGAGAAAGTTTAGAGGAGGACTTTAAATCAGTTTAGGTCATAAAACTGTAAACATGCCAGATCATAGGTTATTCTACTGTTCTGAAACCACATTTCATTTGACTCTGGTAGGAATGAATAACAAATGGGTTGTATATGGAGCAGACAACACTAGGCATGCAGTACTGGAAGGGAAAGCCTTATGATCGCATTTTTATTGATAATCTATAGTTTTCCTAAATCAGTAAAAGGCATTTTTAAGAATCCAGATCTCCCCTCTTCAATGTTACAGTTGTGCAGCCCTACGTTAGGGGAATGATTGTGTGCTTTTATTCACCTGTATATTGTCTCTGACAGGACAAAAATGTGAGCCCAGTTTCAGGATGTAAAGCTTTCCTGGAAAGTGGCTAAGGTCAGATTACTGACACTCTTTCCAGGCTGCTGGAGGAGAGTTAAAATGCCAATTAACAAAGATTTTACTTTTCCTTCGTGTAACCCTGACAGTTCATTTTATATAATAGTTTTATGAGTGCCTGTTACCATTGAGATTAGGCTGGATGGAGGACTGCTCTGAAAGGGAAAAAAAACACAAAAAAATATATAAGACGTAAAGCTGGCCTATTATAAAAATTCAGGAATGAAGATAGGGATTATTACAGATGTGGACTGCACACTGTTAGTCCTCTAAAGGACATCTTGCTTTTTGTACCTGGCTGCCAGTAATAGCCCTCGTCAAATACGTTTCTGCTCTTCCTGTGACAGTCATGAGCTACTGCTTTGTGCAGAGGAGCAGGTATATATATCAGTGGCCAAGAGGAGAATTTAAAAATGGAGATGAGGACTTAGCTACTGACTATAGCATATCTCTAACAGTTCTATTTAGCCTACTGAGACTGAAAATTTGGGGAAGAGAATGAATGAGTTTGAAATAGCGGAAGTGGATTATGAGGGTACCCGATGAGTAGATCATGATTGGGGAATAGAAGGGTTCCCTTAAATATTGCAATCCTAACAACTAGCTTTGAATATATTTTAAGTTGTTAGCTTTGAATATATTCAAAGCTAACAACTAGCTTTGAATATACGGATTAGAATGAAATTAATAATAAAACAGCATTCTCTGTACTGGAAAATGTACTTTACAAGAGAGTCCAGGCTGTACAGGATCACTTCTTGTTTTTATTGGTACTGTATATTCTTGGGAAATACTGAAATTGAATCCTATCTATGTATTACTTTCCCTTGAGCTAATAAAGTAATGCTAAGAAAATAAACAAGATACCTGTAAAGAGTTACAAACGCAGCAGAAGAGTGTTTCTGCTAGTCTTACGTAATCATCAGAACTCTTGTTTTCCACAAATTCGCCTGGTAACACAAATATATTGTATAAGTTGTCATTCATGAGGAAGCAGCTTTTATATTTGATCGATAACAATAAAAACAGTAGTAGTATGTAAATCTTTGGCAGAAAATAGAATACATAAATTTCTTAATTGCATTAACATACCGCTGTTACAAGATGTAAAAGAGACTGTAGCCAGAGCATTCATTTCAACAAAAGTCTTCCCATAAGATTATATGTGCACGTATTTCATGCATGTTGGATATGAACGTGATGTCAGCAGCTCCAGCAAGCTCAGCACTTGCACTCAAGTGACACTAGTCCATAGTATTCCCCTTCACTCCCTCCCCAGCAGCTACATAAAATGTCATGTAGGCAGGTGAAGGGCGGGACAAAGGAACTGGGCCAGCACAGAGCACAATTAGACAATCCCAGAAAGGAGAACTGTGGCTGTGCTAAGGAATTGACCCTTCCTGGATGTTGACATTTTCTAGCAAGTTCAAAGGCACATTGCAAGTGAATAAAAAGAATATATGGAAAGGAAAAAGTAAGCATTACTTGGTTTTTGTGTGCCGTTACCTACCGTGGTTTAAGTTGATGCCAGGGTCTTTTTATGTGATCATGCTAACCCAAATTGACAGAATTGGTCTGTGACTACTTAAAGATTATTGGGAGCCCGAGGGCTCGTCTGTGCAGCCCCCACAATCGACAGGGCTTATAAAGTATGCTGAACAGAAGCAGTTCCCACGTAAACCTATTTGTTTTTAGTATATAACGGTTGAAGTAAAGAAGACCCCCTGGGCAATAACTGTTTTTACAGACTGCATTTCTGTCTTTTTATTGTTTCATTTTTAACTAAATGGAGTGCCTAAAGATTTTAGTAAATATAAAAAATATTGCAAAGCTTATATAACAATATAACATTTGAAAATAAAAAATTAAAAAGTAAAAAAATGTTAGTGGATATTCACAGAGTCAAATCATAAACTGGGACTGTCCTAGAAGTCAGAGAGCATGGACAACTACGTATATATGTGTTGAATATCTTGAATGTAGAGTATGAACATTTATAAATAAACAAATCATTTGGAATAACTTGTATTTTATTACTGGTTCTTACTAAATGACTGGTTCCTCTACTGGTTCACATTCTTCTACAGACTTTGATATAATTTCTTATTCTTAAAGGAGAACTATGGGGTCAGTGTTTTTCCCCATAGTTCTCCTTAGGGTAACGGGAGGACACAAACTAGCATCCTCCCGTTCCCCCAAGCTCAGTATACCGCGAGCTAGAGCTCGCGGTATACTGAGACGCCGCAGCCGGAGCGGATCCCGACCTCATATTTCTATCATGGCAGGTTTACTCTTGTCAGCCTGAGTCAGCACTACAGCCACTTGCAATGCAGTAAGAGAAATTGGCTGATAGAGAGATGGAGTTGGTGTTACATTTTAGCCTCATAATGCCATCATTCCATGGGCTTGGGTGAATGATAATTCTCCTTTTCTGAGGCTCCACTGCCTTCTAAATGCCAGGCTTTCAAAAAATATATATTAGAATTTAATGGAGCTGCTGAGACCTATACTTGGATTACTGTTTCAGTCATTCATACAGCTGCTGTTACATTGCTGGTCATGTACAACCAGCAGCAAAACAATGCATTGCAATGGAGTAATGCATACTAGCAGCAGTATCGGAGGTCTAGTCTACGTTTTACTAAGATCTCATTAGAGCAGTCATTAACAGCTCTCCCTCTTAACATGGCAGGAGGTAAACACACACACACACACACACACACACACACACACTTTCTTACCAGCCACAACAGAAAATGGAATAATTTATAGACCTGCGTGACAAACTATTCATCGTTTTATGGTATGGCACTATCTTTGAACAAATTATTATTTTTCGCCAACCTAAGCTTGCTTAGCACAGTTATGCTCTGTTTAAGTAGTGTATTATATTCAGCATACATAGGTTGTTGGCAGTTATAAAACGCAACCAGTGCTCATTATTTTGACATACTGGCTGCTGAATTTGTACACTGTTCAAAAAATGTATTTTTCCTTTGCTTGGAAAACTTGGAGAAAATAATTTTTCCTAGTGACTATTTGTTCTGTATCTGTAGAGTCCCAGAAATGTTTAGCTGTTGTATATATTGCTCTTTCCCTATATCCACATTCATAACAACCGGGCCTATTATCTTAGGCCCCTCTCTCTCTAATGTTATAGTCCTGCCACTTTTTTTACAGAAAACATTAACAGTTTTTATTTCCGCTACCAGGTAAATTAACAGTCAGCTTAGATTAGTGATACTGCATTCATTGATTTTGCTGAAGAAGGAACAGAACCTTTTCTGAATCACATTAAAAGCCCTTTCATTTTCAGATTTTGACAACATTGCATTCACCATTGGGAAGTAATATCCAAAACCCTAATGCAAATGCTATGTTTACTCTTAATTGCAAGAGTTACTCTTAGAAGAGGATTTCCCATCTTTATATTTTTATAGAGACCTTGTTGACAGGAGGAGATATTCAGTTTGTATCAGTTTATTGCTGTTTCTACACTCATCAATCACAGGCTGGGGTCAATGAGCAAGCTGGGTTGTTTTATTGAATAGTAGTGAATAAAGTGAAGTCAGTGATCTAGCAGTGCTATCTGGTAGGGGTGCTCAGATACCAGTGCTGATATTTGCCATTTTCACGAGAAATACCAAGGGCCGCAGCAGTTGCAGCTGGGACCGGGCCCTAGCGCTCCACCTCTGTCTTGTAATCATTAGTCTGTATTGTTTTAGGAAAAACTGTCACATGACACTACATAAAAATGCATCAGTAATTGTATCTGTGAGTACTTGGATAAGTACTTGTACTTAGTCTGGAAAAAATGGTATTGGTGCATCTCTAATATATATATATAAAACTTTTGAATTTTTTTCTAGTCTAGTCTTGGAGCTGGAAAAGTATCTGTACTTGTACCAAGTATGGTACTTGGTATCTGAACATCCCTACTATCTGGCAGAGGGGAGATCTTTAGACTGGTTTAAAAGAATTGCTAATGCTTCAGCAACCACATCTAACTATGTCTGTAGCTGCCTTTCTATGAAAGAATGTTGAACAGATAACCTTGCTTCTAAAACACACTACCTCTTTTTAATAAATTCAGAGATACCAAGCAATTTTGTTAAATTAACCTCTTACCTTATTTTCCTTTTACATGTGCTTTGAGAGCTGCCATCAACCGAATATGCAAGGGTAAAAGTGCTCCGTTTAAATTCAGAGCGTCTGCAGTTTGTATGGTAGAGTATGGTATGGTACAGAGTAGAGAATATGTATGTAAACCATAGCTAGGTCATTCAATTACTTTGGTGGCAGGATGATTTCTGTGCTGCACTGTGCCTATGTAGTCACTACAGATCGAAAACTGCTAGAAGACTATAGCCTTTGCTTCTTTATAAAGTTGCTGGAATTTCTAGGTATTTCAAAAGAGCTAAAGTGTTATAAAAGTTGTTATTCTTTAAAGACAGAGAAAATACTGAGAAAAAAAAATCTTTGTACAATTTTGTGTTTAGTATGCATGCAACTTTCTCCTCCAATAAATAAATACAAATAAAGGATCAGTTATATACACAAGAAGTGTCTACTGATTATGAATAGTGTTTAATGTTTCAAGATGCATAATCACTGTGAAGACTCATGCATATTTTAATTTGTCGGGTTATCCCCTCAGTAGAGGGAACGTTAATCAGTTAGACTGCAAGCGCACACTATGCTTTAATGAGCCATCTTCACCTTCCTACTCCTGACTTTTTACCTTAAAAGAACTTGTTTAATGTGTAGAGCAAAAAATAAACTCTTAGAAAAGGCTAAAACACTTTGCTGCATTTTCAAAAGGGTTAAAAGTCTAACCATTTGAGGCAAAAACAAGCATAGGGAATATATTAGCTGAGCTGAAACATTCTGCTAGTATCCTTTATTCTGTTTGCTTGATAAGGGTGCCACCTGGTGGACTTATATGATTACTGCTCAGAATCGGACTGGTCTACGTGATACAGAGAAAGAAGGTTGGTTAAAAAGTTGTTTAACATGTAGTAAAATAATCTGTATCATATTTAACTCACCTTGAAGTCCAAAAACATTTAGATAATTAGGTATATTTAATCTATATTTGTGATCATCCTTGGCTAATAAATCATGGGTATGCTTTTTGCCCGACAACAATGGCTCAGCAGCAAGTAGTATCATAAAAACCATTTCTTCTTTCTTCCATTTTTTGCCTTGTGCCTAAAAACATGACAATGTGATTAAGTTACATGTCCCAAGAGCCAATCTATACAATTTCCCCAATAGTTCAATCATTATTGTATAAAGCTGTACAGGATTGTCTTCCAATTTTAATGAACTGCTTTATTAAAACCCAAGCTACCTTAATATGGCTCAACTTATTTCAGGTAGGTAAATGCATACATTCATCACCATTTGCCAAAACACTTGCCAAGGTTATTTTACTAAAGGCAAATAGACTGTCCACTTTTTTTTTGGTTTATTATTTGGCACATTAATTATTAGATTATATTTGTCCCTCACCTTTAGCGCTGTGTTCTTTTAATGTATATATTAGGGACTTATCCTCCCCTTTGTTCATAGCAGCTTTAGTTTATATTGTTTTCAACTAGCTCCAGGAGCGCAGATTTTCATTATATTTAAAATAGCATTTTTGCTTGCACATGATTGGATGATGGGAGATAGCAGAGCTTCACCTCATTTACTTAACTAAGGGAAAACTTCCCTTGCAAAGTGAACAGCCAATGTTAATAAAAAATGATTTGTAAAATGATTTGTAAAACTCTTATTTTGAAGTTGCTTCAAAACGATTTTTGGGTGGAGTGGGGCTGGGTTTGATCTCTACCATTAGTTCTGGGGTAGAGATCTCTGCACCTACTACATGATCGTGGCAGGTAAAGAGCTTGAGCCATACACTCTAATGGATTCTACATAGTAATACAGTATACAGTATGACGAATTCAGAGAATGGTGACAAACAGCCGCCCTCCTTCCCATGCCAGGAATTGTGGTAAGATCACCCTATCGTTTTTCAGGAAAATAGCAAAGTAATGGCAGGGTTGTAACCATGCCCTAGACCAGACCAAATAGAGAAATCAATTTGGATGCAGTTGCTCCTGACATGCTTAATCACCCTACGCTGGCATGCCACCCTAATCATTCTGGTGTCATAACCTAACAGAGCTGCATAACCTAACAGGGCTGCAATTTGGTTGAACAGAACTCCAGCCAAAAATAACTACAAAAAATAGCCCATTAAAAGATACCAAAAAAAAGCAGCATTTTCTGCTATGCTCACCTTCCATGCAAAGCTTTACCCTGCAGTACCTCTTTACCCCCACAAGATGTCCTCATTCTTCTGGCCTAAATGACATTCAGTATCATTCAACCTACATCCTTTAAGCCTACGCCGTCAAGGGTCAGCCCCTAGCCTATGACTGGACAGTGAAGCAGAACAGTGATGAGCTACTCTCTGTCACTCTGCTTTCTCCTCTTATTAGCATGCTCACTGTCAGCTCATGAACTGTAATTTTAGCATATCAAGATTCATGGAATATGAATAGATTTTGAGAACTGTTTCTTACAATGAGGGTTGTAAGAAAAGGGCAGTTTCAGGTCACGTTAATCCAGATTCAAATGGGTATTCCTCTAAATGGCTTTATGAAAGCCAGTTATGACCAGAATACAGTCTGTTGAGAGATCTGCTAGGGGTTTTATGACATGGCAATATTGCAATGGCTATTAGCAGGCTTGGACTAAGAGACATCCTGCTAATGGGTTTTATGGCCTCCAATTAGCCATTTACTACTGGGCTCACTGACAGCTGTGCAGATTCTAGTTAAGCAGGATTTATGCTACTGCTAAAATCTGCTAAGATCTTCTGATAATTAAGTTTAATAGGATTTATTGTAGACTGTTTGTATGTTGAGCTGAACTGTGATCTACTCTGGGGTAATGTGAAATGTATCCGCTCTCTGCCTGGCCCTACAGATACAAGATTTAAATCTGATGACTTTGTCACAGACTTGCAAATTTTGAAGAAATAAGGGTGGCACTGGGTTCAATACAACTGCTTGTTCTCCTTACCTAATTTGGAGTTCATGAGACCTCATTGTGAAGGTGTTATTCATTCTGAATGGCATTCCAAAGCACCTGCTGACAGGCATGTGTTAAAGCATAATGCAAGTGCATCATGGTCTGGTGCACTACCACAAATAATGCATGCATAATTTTTTGGCAGCACACCACAATACACATTATTGAATTGCTGAGCATTGCTCAGAATGCATGCATTGAGCCAGAACACTTAACATACATTGCCACACACTAGGGATTCACCAATACCGATACTAGTATCCGTACCGATACTGAGAATTTGGGCGAGTACTCGTCCATATGCCCGGATACCGGAAATTCCGGTCAGAGGGAGATCTCCCTTTGACTGGCAGTGCCAAGGAAGCATGGAGTCTCCTTCCTTTCCAATCAGGAAGCCAGGCGGTGAGTTATGAGCCGCCTCCCGGCTTCCTGATTGGTTAGGAAGCCAGGCTGCCTAGCAACAAGTGAAGCTGGCATCCTAGCCAATCAGGAAGCCAGGAGGCCGGTCATGACATGCCATCTGGCTTTCTGATTGGCTAGGAAGTCAGCTTTACTTGTTAGTAGGCAGCCTGGCTTCCTAATCAATCAGGAAGCCGGGCAGCATGTCATGACTTGCGTCCCGGCTTCCTGACTTGTCAGGAAGCCACACTGCCTAGCAACAAGTGAAGCCGGCTGCCTAGCCAATCAGGAAGCCCGGGAGGTGGATCCTGATTGGTCAGGAAGCCAGGCAGTCTTGCCAAGTGAAGCCGGTGTTCTTTTGCTAGAAAACGGGCATCACAGGCAATCATGAAGCCAGTTATATCGGTACTCCTACTGGATACCAAAAACTGGTATTAGTGTATCCCTATGTATTACACATTGTACAAAATATTATCACTGGATACATTTACATTACCTATATAAGATAGAAACTTTAGAGCTGAATATTGAACACACAGATATAGTTTCACAATTGAGGTCAGTTTAGATGACAGTCCACTGCAATTTACATTCAAACCAATGTTGAAAGAATAACAGACTTTTGCATTAGGAAAAAATAGTTTTTACTTTTCTGTGGGTTCACTGAAGAGGGCATTAGGTGGATTTAAAAAAAAAGCAGTAATTCTTGACCTTGCGTGAACAACTAAGAGCTTAAATGTGACCTGCTTTTAATGAGATTACCTGTAGGAATGTGTATAATGGTTGTATAATGGCATCAAACACTTCCCAGTGCTCATAGCTAAATGCTAATTTTAAAAATTTCACAACAGCTTCAGCAGAGACTACATTCTTTTCTGGAAGAGACAGAACAGAAAAAGAAAAGATTCAAAGCCATGTTCTTCTCCAAACACTCATAGCACAATAAATCGCTCTGCTGCATTGTAAGACATTGATATCAATAACTCATCAGTCACAGGATGAAGTGTGGGTGGCAGGGGGAACATTTTAAACTAGTTTTAGACAATGTAATGCTGCCTTTGGCTGTGTCTGGCACCTTGTGAATCTTCAAGGATGATCTGCGAACATTTGTTTTTGAATGATTTATTTCAGTTTTATTGCAGTTCATTTATCTTACTGCACATGATTAAGCCATCAGTTATGTAGCATGCACTTTTGTCTTGTCTGCATCTAAGAGACTGAGATAATACACATATAGCATTGAGACATAGAATGGTACAAATGAAATGTGGATATAGATCTGGATGTACGCCTCTGTGTGGCTCCATTATTTCTAAATGGCAAAACAAAATGTTCAATATGCAAATTAGGTAATGGTAGATAAAATCACTTGTGTAACAAGAAGGCCTCAGTAAGTGAAATCATGTGATGTGACATTAAAAATCAAATGTCACAGAGCCGGAACTGGTGACGGGTCTTGGAGCAGCCAAGATTCAAATCCAGCCCTGAGCAGACAGTTGAGGATTGAACGGTGCATAGCATTAAAAATGAAAAGCTAGCAAAGTGTGAAACGAAGAATTAAAGATAAAATATAATGGTTTGGGGTCAGCTTCAGCTTCATTTATTTAACATAGTTCTAAACATGTGAAACCCAAAAAGCTTGCATTGCTCCCAGCGCCAGCTTCATCCTTTTGTTTCCACAAGACACAACCTTAGGTTTACCATAATAAAAATAAAAAAATCAGACGACCCTTTTTGTTTACTAAAAGGTCATATATAGTGGCTTTACACCTATTTTCTTTGTTAAAGCCAGGTAAAGAAAATAAAATGTAAAATATATATAGTCAGGCAAGTATGACATACTGCACATGAACATCATATAATCCCTCATCAAATTTCCCTCATGGTGTTCTAGGTACCCTTTGCATAAGTGAAGGAAAACTGTTAATTACACCACAGAACTATGTATATACCTTACCTGCCACAACATTTCTAATTCTTTTTTTCTGTTTGATAACTTGGCAATGAAGCAACAACATACTACTGTGCCATTGTATCACTACTAAGCAAGCTGCCAAGTTGATAGCAAATAGTGCTGTCATCTGACTAGCTACACAGAGGGGTGAGAATTACAAGACAAGATGAACAAAACGCAATTGAATAAACTAACATATATTATCACTTGTATTTTGACATCTGGTTTGTGTTATTTGGCTATTGGATATTGTCTTTCCTTAAAGGAAAAGTATTGGTAGAGTAAAATGTACTCTTCCCATTACTTAGAGGCGGCATATGGCATTGCAGGTGTCACATGCCAGCTCAATTGATCGAGAGCTAAGCAATGACAAACCGAAGATCACTCAGTTCACAGTCTTCTCCTAGCAGAGAACGGCGAATCTCAGTCACCACTCCCCACAGCAATACCGCATCCCCTCTCTGTTCCTCCAGTGCCTATTGAAGGGACAGACAGGGCAGAGGGAGGGCATAGCTGGCCCTGGTTTCAGAGAGGCAGAGCCAGCTGTCAATCAGGCAGCGGGGTGGATTTTTCCCAGCTCTGTCAGGATCTTTCCTGGCTCTGCACTGTCAAATTGCGTGTAGTAGCCTGCTAGATGCTGACTTTGGGTCACAGGAGTGCATCAAATGTTTTCCTGTGACCCAAAAGATGACTAAAGCCAAAAACAAAGGTTTTGCTTTAGTTCTCTTTAAATACTAACAACTGGCTGCAGCATATGATTAATGTATAACATACAATTGCCATTAATCAATAGGGTTGTGCATACCTATGACTGACAGACTAACCCATGGAATAAAAGGTGTGCCTATTTTTGTTGATTTAATAAAAGGATTAGTTAGAAGTTAAAACAAATTAATGTAGAGCCAGTTAATGAAGCCTGTTCAGGAAATAATAATTATTCCTAGTAGGCAAACTACCTCAAACCACATTTGTGGTTTTATTTATCTTTTCTTCATTACCTTTTTATTAGTTTGTTCCAAGACATTTAACTATAGAGCTATTAATTATACAAATTACAGTGAATGTTCACAATGCTCATGGGTTGAATATGTAGATTCTGCATCAAGAGACAGCGACTCTTTCTTATATTAATATTTCATATGCTGCACTCTCCTTTACAACTGTATCACAGAGCTATTTTGTTTATTGATCATTCCATAAAGCAGCAGCTGGACTCTGTCCCTATAATATATCATAGTGGCTCTTATGAGTTGAATCTTTTTTGTTTGTAACTCTCCCACTCCTTATTTTTGCTTGTTCTTGGTTATTGATATTGCAAAAACATAAACCTTAGCAAATCTTAATTATTAATATACTGTATGTAATTAAATATTTTTCTACAAAAGGTTTGGCAATCCACTGGGAAGACAGAATCTTCACGGTGCTGTTTACATTCCTGTCATATATTTTATTTTCTGAAAAGTTCTCACTGGAAAAGTACAAATTTCATATGTAACATGAGGTCAATATATGATGAACTTGCTATACATTATTGATGTCCTAAATGCTGTCATAACATGTAACATGATATAGCTTCATCAAAATACTACACATTGTAATTATATCTCTACAGCAGAAGTATTCAGTTCTAAAACTTAGCCTGGAGGTAGTTATTTGAGTAGGTCTGCAGTAGATAGCCAAAAGGTGCAACCCAATAAACAGAAGCTATTAGAAAACCTGGAGCAAAAACTGAGCTGTTATCTAAAGGCGCTTATTAGGATCCTATACATGGGAACTGCTCACACACTGCTCTTAAATCAGAAGAGAAGTTTTTCTCTACCAAAGCATTGTACTGTATATATAAAATATAGAGATGATTTATGTTAAAGTAGAGTTTTTTTGCCATTTGTGTCCCTGAGGAGATTTCCATTTACTTCCTCTCCGATAGTCACAACAGGAAGTGAATGGAAATTCTTTCAAAATTTGGATATCCCTGGTGGCCAGCAAGGTCACTAGAACTAGTGTCCCCATTGGAAGATTGCTTTTTGAAATGATGACAGAATTGTTTTTTTACAGCCGACCATAGACCTCAAGGTAGTGGTTAGGTTTACATGATTTATCTGACTGAGGCTACATCAGATGGCTATTTCTGTGTAGGCCTATTGATAAGTACAGGAAGCACTTTGCAGATATCAATGGAACTGGCTTATCAACAGCAAATGACTGCAATCAGACAAGGTGTTCTAGCCTTTCCTATCACTATTTATCCAAACACAACTTAGCCAGTGGTGTGTGCAAATACCCCATAGACATTCGGTCACTGCTGTGACATCAGTGTCCATCCAGGGTCTTCCTCCGTCTTGCAATGGAGGAAAGAACTAAAACTGCAGGACCTCATGTCAGTCTATGGGGAGTCAGATGTGAACGGGCATGTGTCCATTTACATCCAATTACACCCAATCCGGCACGATCAGGTCCATCGTTTTTCCAGACCCCCAAGTCAGGGGTAACCATGTGTAATCAACACCTGTCCGTTTAGACCCAGCTGCCCGTAGACTAGCACTGGGTATCTAATCAGGTCCACCTGAAAAATTGACAGGCAGACCCGATTGGACCGCCTTACTCACCTATGCATAGTCAAACAAAAACTCTGCTCAAGTCTGTCATCAGAGACTCAGTTATTCCCCCTCACTGGGCACCATTATCTTGCCTATCGCACAACAGATAAAGGTAGAAGGTAAAGCCTGGCTATCAATCACAGCCAACACATCAATGACACCTGTCCTTTCAGTGACACTCATATGTGACTGCTTTCTTTATCAAGGGGAGTGGTTACAAATGGAGATGAAGGATTAGCCATCGACTGATATAAAATTTCAATTTTAATGTCAGTTACAGTGCTCTTTGATCTGCTTAGGATGCATGTTTGGGGGAACAAATTAGTATGTTTGAAACAAGTGATAAAGCAGATTATGCAGGTACTATTATGTTTATGCACAGGGAATGGAAAGGCTCAATAAGCATAAGAAGAATTTAACATTGTCTAGAGCATTTATGTATTGATTCTCACCTTCCACAGCTAGCTCTAAAAGTGAGCCATCATTCAGCAATCTACCCAATTCACCCTGGATATTTCCCGCAGTGCCACGCTCAGGTTTGATTCCTCCACCTAAAACAAATACAGGAAATTAAGGCAAAATAAGCATTCACATTTACTGTCAGATTATATTGCTACTACAACTATTATTATTAGGGATGCACGGATATCGATCGGCACTCGTGAAAATGCCCCAATACTAAGCACCGATACATTCAACCCTTAGACGGAAACGGCTGCCTGAGGTCCCGCGCTTGATGGGGACCAAGGCAGCCTTCCTCTAAACTGCAGTACCTGTTTACAGCCCCGGCGGCCCTCTTAAGACCCAGGACAGCCTACCATAGACCCTGGACAGCCCTCCTGAGACCTCGCACAGCCCACCTGAGATCCCTCATAGCCCACCTGAGATCCCTCATAGCCCACAGCCCACTGTAGACCCACCACAGCCCTCCTGAGGTTCTGGAGATATGAGGCCGCCACCCCAGAGTAACAGAGTATGTAGCCTCATATTATTCTGTATTGCTGAGATTTGTAGTCCTCTATAGCTGGTGGTATTCTACATTGCTCTATAATGTTTTGCTGGGATTTTTAGTCCTCTATATCTGGTGGTACTCTGCATTGCTGTATAATGTATTGCTGAGATTTGTAGTCTCTCTACAGCTTGGAGTCAGTGGTAGAGTGGCAGTGGTTGCAGCTGCGACCAGGCTTTGGTGCTCCACCACTGCCCTAAAATCATTAGTCTGTACTGTTTTAGAAAAACTGACACGAGTGTCACATGAAACTAAAAAAAAGGTATCGGTAATTGGTATCAGCTAGTACTTGAGCAGTATCAGTACTCGGTCTGGAAAAAATTGTATTGGTGCAACCCCAGTTGTTATTATTATTATATGTAGAATGCAAATGCAATGGTACCTTTGCTGTTATGTTTACATCATTGCATTTTCCCCCAAAAATTACAAAATGGCAAGTAACACAAACTACCTAAAGCAAGCTTATCAGATTATGTCAATCCAGCTAAAATGCTGAGTGACAACACATTTGCCTAGATGAGGCAGCCAGAAGCCAGGGTCAAAGGTAAGTATTTTTTTTAGGGATGCTCCGATACCATTTTTACGCTTTTAGCTCTAGCAATTTAGAATAGGGGGGTGGGGGCTACTATGTAGCTACAACCCTTAAATGCTGAGGACTGCATGGTCTGCTTTAACAAAATTCTTTAACCTTATTATTTAATAAACAAAGTTCTAACCATACGACTGGAGTTTGTCTCAACAAAATATCAACATTAAAGTAAACCTGTAACCAGATCAAACACGCTAAAGTATTTACCTATTCTGAACAAGTGGTAAAAGCATGTTCCAACAAACCCTCATTAACTTCTGTAGCTACAGGCATTGCGGAGAAATTCTTTTTAAAAAAGTACACTGAAGTATCACCTTATTTTTCTGGAGAGCGGAACCTTGGCAGCCTGTCAGTCCTCTAAAGTAAAACACACAATAGGTGTTTCGTAGCTGTCAGGCTCTGTTCACACCTAGGCGTATCAAATATGCACATTTGACGCGCGTTTTTACCGTGATTCGCAAGGGCTACTTGGCTGTATCCCAATGGAAACGTGCTACAAAAATGCCGCAAAGAAGCTCATGTACCTTTTCAGGCGTAGGCCGCTTTGTAGCGCGTTCAGATGGGCTGAAATACGGCAAGGTGTGAACCATACCCATAGAAAACAATGGGATTTTCATGTTTGGGCGTTTTGTAGAGCGTTCGTAGAGCGTTGAACGCGCTACAAAACGTACAGGTGTGAACCAGGCCTTAAAGAATTATGGGGTGAGTGAAATGCACTTATCCCCATAAAAAGAGGCAACTGGTGACACTAAAAGTATCACACTTTGGCTCTATTGATTGGGAACTGAGCGATCACATACCACCAATTGTGGTATGTGGGTGCATAGGTGCTTTCTAAGACAGACATGGCCATCATTACTGAATTATTAACCCCCTTGTTTTGCTTCTTTTCAACTTCTCCTATATATCATGTGATAGAGACTTATGCTATCATAATTACCTACCTATGCTTGCAAATACAGAGCTTAAAGGAGAACTATGGGGTCAGGGCTTTTCCCTATAGTCCTCCTAAGGGTCACGGGAAAACACAAACTAGCGTTCTCCCGTGACCCAAAGCTCAGTATACTGTGAGCTACAGCGCAGCCAGAACGGATCCCGACATTGCTGTTGAGATCCACCCAGCTGCGGGATTGACAGCTGGCTTTGCCTATCCAGAGGCAGAGCCAGCTGTGCCCGCCACCTCCCCCGTCCGTTCCGCCAGCCAGCACTGGAGGAGCGGGGAGGGTGGGAATCCCTGCAGGGAGACGGGACTGACAAGTCACGGCTCTCTGCAGGGATAGATCGAGAAGTGAGCGAGCGCCGGTATGTGTTCGCTCACTTCCCGATCTACTGAGCCGACCTGTGACAGTTTCATTGTCACAGGTCGGCTCGGATTATAAGGCTGAGTGCAAATCACTCGCCTCATAATTCTCCTTTAAGCCAAAGTCCAGCCAAAACGTAGTACCTCTGTTAACTTTTTATTACTGTCTGTGTGCCTACTCAGGATTTCTCCTTACTGGGTGTCAGAGAGATCAGGTCACGAGGTAAAATCCCCCCACCAGTGCCACAATCCGAACTTAAACAAATGTTATAGAAGAATAAGGAAGGTTTACAACTTCTGTCAGTATTTTATTGCTGTTTGTGTCCCCATGAGAAAGATTTCCATTAACTTTCTGTTTAGACAACTACATATATACACATATACATACACAGTATATACAGTCTAATGGCCATATATTGGCACCCCTGCATTGCTGTCAGATAATGCACCACTTCGCACAGAAAATTGTTGCAAATTAACTTTCTGTTTAGACAACTGGTGACAGACAGAAGTAGAAAAGAAGAGGAATCCTCTATGGAGACAAAGACAGTATTTGAAATGTCATATAAAAGTCTCTTTAGTGGAGACACAGACAGCAGCAAAAAGACTTGTAAACCATTATGTACTTTGGATACCAAGTAATTCAAGGTGCTTGCACACTGCTTCTGATCCCCAGCACCCCAAAACACCGCAGGCTCTGGCTACCACTGGCTCTGCCCCCTCCTTGTTTTAAATGCCATACAATGTAAGAAAAATTGTTGCAATTACAAATATTTAGGCATTCTCATGTTTATTTCTTTTGTTTGTATTGGTATGACACAAAAAAAAGTTGAAAAGAATAAGCCAAACCTGACACATTCTACGCAAAACTCCAAAAATGGACTGGACAAAATTATTGGCACCCTCAATTAATATTTGGTAGCACAGTCCTTGGAAAAAATAACTGAAATCAAAGGCTTCCTGTAACCATCAAGGAGTTTCTTGCACCTTTCCCCAACTGCTCCAGGTCCAGGATTGGAAGGGTTCCTTTTCCCAACTGATGTTTTGGGGCTCTATGGGATTCCGATCCGGATTCATTGCTGGCCAGTCCAGTACTTTCCAGTGCTCTGTCTGAAACCATTTCTGGGTGCTTTTTGACGTGTGCTTTGGTTCATTGTCCTGCTGTAATACCCATGACCCCTGACGGAGACCCAACTTTCTGACACGGGCCCTACATTGCACCCCAGAATTATTTGGTAGTCTTCAGATTTCATAATGCCATGTACACAGTGAAGACATCCAGTGCCTGAAGCAGTAAAGCAACCCCAAAACATCAGTGAACCTCCACCATGTTTGAATGTAGGGACTGTATTTTTTTCTTTAAAGGCCTCATTTCTTTTTCTGAAAACAGTAGAATGATGGGCTTTACCAAAAAGCTGTAATTGTGTTTCGTCTGTCCACAGCACATTCTCCCAAAAGGATTTTGGGTTCCTCAGGTAAGTTTTGGCAAACTCCAATCTGGCTTTTTTATGTTTCTGTGTCAGCAGTGGGGTCCTCCTGGGTCTCCTACCATAGCGCCCCTTTTCATTCAGATGGCAACGTATAGTGCGAGCTATCCACCATTCAAACAATCCTTCGTTGCAATCTTTGATCAATTGTTCTCTTTCGTCCACGTCCAGGGAGATTAGCTACAGTGTCACGGGCTGTAAACTTCTTGACAATGTTGCGCACAGTGGACACAGGAACATTAAGATCTCTGGAGATGGACTTGTAACCTTGAGATTGTTCATGCTTTTCCACAATTTTTGTTCTCAAATCCTCAGACAATTCTTTGCTGCTCTTTCTCTTTTCCATGCTCCATGTGGCACACAACAGAAAGGTTGAGTCAATTTTTCACCATTTTAACTGGCTGCCATGTGATTTCTATATTGTTGGCACTTATTAATTCATACAGGTGAGTTTAATTACAAATTGCAGGAGCATCACACACTTGAAATGCAATTATTTCTTGCCAATAATTTTGTCCAGTCCATTTTTGGAGTCATGCGTGGAATGTGTCAGATTTGGCTTTTTTTTCTCCACTTTTTTGTGTCATACCAATGCAAACAAAATAAATAAACATGCAAATGCCTAAATATTTGTAATTGCAACAATTTTCTACGCAAAGTAGTGCATTATCTGACAGCAATGCAGGGGTGCCAATATTTACTTACCCATTTATATTGCACTATATATATATATATACACACACATACATACATACACACTTCATGGCTATGTCAATACATTTTAGAGATAAAGTTTGGGAATTCATTGTATGTGTTTAGATTCCTTTTTTTGGACCTTGGTTTTATTTATGGCTGTTTTCCTAACAATTCTTTTATGCAAATATAGTCTTGACAAACGTTACCTGAAAGGATATCTATGCCTGCAAAAAACAGTTCTGCAATAACATCATATATCTCTGGTTCATCAGGTACAGGAGGTCCAGCCTGCAGCACTCGTCTATTACTATCTGTCAGGGCTTCAACGATAGCAAGGAACTGGGTGGCATTGTTGCCAAACATCTCTACTAGCAGCCGTTCTGTGTTTGTACGGGGCCATGATAACTAGAATTAAAACAACATATGCAAATTGTTAATGTGTTTTGATATATACTGTTTAAAAAAAGTACTGTTTTTAAAAGACTGTTATCAAGAAAATCTATGCGTTTCCTGTATGCCATTTGACTGGTGTCATGTTTTTTTATTTTTTTATTTAACCCCTTAAGTTAGGGATCTTAATGTGTTTTTTTCAAATGAGTGTTGTCTATTCACCTTTTCTCACCATTTCTCTTACACTTATTTTAAAGAATAAAGTGGACATTTAACCATGACAGCCATCATAGATCTTGCTCCACCTTACATTTGTTTGGTAAAATTGTAGTGGCCTGTTGTAGGTCTGTAGTATGGTCACATGACACAGCAGATGGAAGCAGTTAAAATCCATGTAAAAAGCAGTTGGCAAGAGTAGAATAAATGCCCCTTTATCCTTATGTTTCATTCTAACAAGACCTGTAGTTGTCGTGTTTGCTGAAGAAACATAAATAAGTTGTTCACAAACACATCATAAAAGTTAGATTTTGAAAGCATGTAATTAATATAATGCTCTGGCTGAAGACAATACTATCACTACCGCCTAACTAAATGACAGCTTCCCACTGGGTTCTTTTATTTATATTTGGCCATATATATAACATGGTAGAGTGACAAGTGTGCAATGTCAATAATCTAACAATCTTTTTTTTTTTTGGACAGTACAGAAGTCTCTATAGCTCGCTGACATCCTTTACTACTGTTTTTATCTTGGCCTTGTCCTATCCTTCAGCTAATATCTATCAGTAGCCTGTGTTCACTGAAAAGTAACTTGCCACAATAAATAAAACAAAATTATCCAGCTCCTACTGCACGTGCGTGCCACTCTCCCAACATGAGTACAGACCAGCTTTAGACGTTTTGGAGCAAGCAGGGTACATGAACAGTGGAAGCTGAATGTGCGCAGGACTTATTTCTGCAAAGGCTGTGTGGCTCCAGACAGCTCCACATACTGAAGATCTTTGGAGCAAGGCGAAAGGTAAGTATTTTGGTAGGTGGGAGGAATATTTAAAGGACTACTTTATTAAAAACCCTGGAACCCTGGAGAATAATGGTGTATTTTTAAAGGCTCAGCCTTTTGTGCCAAACATAACACCTGACAACAACTGTGAAAATGAATGCCAGAGATGATTTGTTTTGGGTCTAGCACCTTTTAACCCTGCTGCATTAGCCATTTGGCTGATGAGAACCTGATGGCAGGTAAAGTCCTGCAATGCTAGTTACATTCTAGACATACCTTTTCTGCATCCTTTAGATTGTTCTTGAGTCTTGGGCGAAGAATTTCCTTTGGTTTTCTTCTGGACTCAAACACAGCTCTTTTGAAGATCATCACTGCCATCTGATAAAGATATCACCTTTAGTAATTATATATATATATATATATAACCTTATAACCTTGTTTGTGTATATATCATTTTTTATCATATTTATATTACATTTCCAAATTTCAGATTTCCGTCCGTCGCATATTAAGGCTGCCGCCCACAGGTGGGCAGATGACTCACTGAGAGCAAGAGGCCATACAACATCTGCCTGTCCTCAAATGCATGGCTTCACTATTAAGACCTGGCAGGTGACCATTACTGGTATGGTGAATTGCATAAAGAGTGCTTCTGGCCATAGGAGGGGTCCTTATCTCCCCTAACTAAGCCCTACACATTCTAATTCTTGCTTGTGTGCCACAAGTGAGTCAGGTGCAGCTGAGTCTAGTCCTGCAGGGTACTATGCATCCATAATAAGGGTATAATAATTCAGAAATAGATTTGGCAATTTGTTTTAAAGGTGTTCATGGTGAACCATACTACTAACCTGAATACAAGAAATGATACAAGTACAGATTTACCATTTTTTAAACTCTTATTAGTGTTTTTCATGATTGATTGTACAACTTTTATTGGAGAGATTACATATTTTTCTTGTTTGTTTTAATTGTTTAGGAGATTGGAAATTGTAGTTTGCATCTTTTTAATATACAAAGATAAGTATTAATTAGATATTCCAGCAAGCAATTACTAACACAGCAACGTTAATCATGCAGCTGCTCTTGTTTTTCCCCAAACTTTTTCTAGCTAAGTTGCTGTACTATTTTATTTGTGAAATGTTACTAATGTGCCTACATGCTTTTATAAATATAAGTTTAGTTCAGTTACCTCGAATAAAGTGTGCACATTCCTGCTGTTATTCATTTTTATAATTTATATACTGTATGTATAAACCACATGGCCATCAACTGGCTGACAGTGTGACACCTTAAGAGCCCATTTACACCAGGGTGGTTGCAGATCAGCACGGTTACCACACTGACCTTAAAAGGGTGGTTTTGGGAGTTTTTAATTGTGTTTCAGCGCCGAAATGCAATTAAAACCACCCCGAACCGCTCTAAACAGCGCAGTTCCATTGAAAGCTGTATGGGACCGCACTAATCAGCTCTGCAAAAATAGTGCAGGGAGCAGTTTGGACGGGGGGGCGGTTCGGATCACGCGGATACAGGTAGTGCCATGAACGGTCCCCATAGCAATATATGGGATCGTTCATGTCGGCGGATCCGTGCGGCCGAACCGGTGTGAACGATGTCTTAATTGTTATGGTAAAGAATTGTGACATTACAGAGGATGAATTCAGAGAATGAAGTACTTACCTACTTACCATTTAACACTTGCCTATCCCACTGCCAGCACCATCAGTCTTTACTGTCTAAAAGAGGTGCTGCTGCCTATAAAATCTTCTGCATCAGACACTTCTGGGTGCGTCTAAAGTCACAGCAAATACTATTCTGTTAAAATTTTAGCATTGAAATAGGAATACATACTAGAGTTGATTTTGAATGATATAGTTGCCTGCTTTCTGAACTACAACTCAATGTCTAACAACGTAAAGATAAGTCAACAACGCAAAGATATCATTGGTTGCTGGAAGCAATGCATGATGGGCTATGTAGTCTTGGGAAATTGAGATTAATGTGATGCAAACAGCAGGGAAAAGAGACACAAAGCACACTGGGAATTCAGGAAGTTGGTAAAAGGGATGGGCAGATGGAAGGTAGCCCATCTAAGTATTGCTTAAAAGAGTTAAAAATGGTACATCCTCTATACCATCCAAGAAAAACAGCAACAGCAAATAGCAGGACTATAGAAATACATATAAGAACCCCCACAGCATTACAAAATGCATTGCATGACGTGTATGTGAATATGTTATTGGGATTGTAACTCATGCCTTGCAACAGCCAACGCAATACTTCTTAAAATGTTTGTTTACCTTAAGAGTGGACTCTTTAAAAGCTTTCTTTGCTTCTTCGTTGTAGGAGGAATCACTCATATTTTCAAGCTGACTAAGCTCCCTTATTTTACTGAGAGCACGTCGAGCAAACACCTAAGAGAAACACAAACACAAAATACAACATTTTGCAATAATCCTCAGTGACTTAAAAAGAAACAATGTGCCAACAAACAAATATGAATTATGATATAATCTTCTCTAAACAAGCAAGGTCACAGGCCACTTGGTTATTTGTTTTAACATAATTCATTTGAAATTATTTAAGAAAAAAAAGAATTTATTTATGTGTACAAATGAAACATAAGATAATGTTTTAAACTGTTTAAAAAAAATAGTTTTCATTTACATAAAAAAAGCATAATAATGAAGATGTATTATCTTAACATGCCAATATCTAGTAGGTGTTACAATAGTTTACCAACTTTACAGTGACAGCAATACATTAAAACCTCTCAGTCTGTAAAACTACTCAAGGGTACATTATAACTAGAGCAAGTATCAACATTCTACTGGTTGGATTAGGAGCCAAAACAGTGTTTCTTGACAGCATAATAGGCTAAAAAGGTCACAAATCTTAGAGCCCTTTCACGCTTTTAGGCGGATCCGATTGGAAGCCCAGTGTTAGTCAATGGGCAGCCGGACTTAAGGGGACAGGTGTCCATTTACATCCCTTACCCCTTGATCCGGCCAGGTCTGGAAAAAGAGTTCTGCTTCACTGGACCTGATGATGCTGGATCTGGGGTAATCTGCTCTAAAAGGACACAAGTGTGATCCCCATAGACCAACATGGGTCTGGTAATTTTATTTTTTTCCTCCATCTTGCTGGACAGACACGGATGTCACAATGGTGACATCAGTTGCGATCAGCATGGGAGCCATGCACGGATTCCCCTCCTGATCAGATCACGTGAAAGGGGCCTTAAAACTCTAATCCAGACAATTGCTATGGCCCTGTTGGAAGATTTCCTATTACTTCATGTTACAGTGAAATCTTTTACAAAAACAGAAGATTTTTTTTTGCTGCCTTTACTTTCTGTTCTGGTGACAGCCATCATCAGGACAGCAAATAGAGCAAAATCTCACCGATGGTGGTAACAACAAAACTAAACAAGGGGTTTAGCAAAACAAAACTAAACAGCACTCTTTCCTGTTAATTGAAAAAATAATGTTTTGGCTGTGACTGGGATTTAAGTTACCAACAGACATCTGAGTGTGGTTGAGAAGCCACAGATATACTTGAAGCACAATTTGATTATGGTACTTGTCTTATGTGCACTTTACAATTACACCTTAGACTCATACTCAGGAATTGTGATTGATATTTGTTCTCGTTCGTTATTGTTGCTTTATTCGAATTTAAATGTCTCTTGGCTGTTCTTTACCGTATTGTTGGCAAAAAAATGATTTGTAAAAAGAGAAGCCGGAGATGTACTATCTTTCTTTTCTGTAAACATGCATGCTGGATTTTCCCAAGCATGCATATTTTAATGTAATAAAGCTAGAAAAGGCACAGGAATATTACCCACATTTCCTTTTTCATCTACCTACAGTGTAATATGTCCTCTCCCCTTAACATGAACTGTAGATTCTATTTGTGTCGATATTGCAAGGAATCAAATACATAAAAGGCTGGTTTTGATCAACCACAAGTTGATGGAATCGAAACTGCCATGATTAAACCCAGCATAAAAATCTGATCATCTTCAACAACAGTTCTGTTGAGTTTTTTTCTCCCCATTTACTATTCAGTGTTTCAATTACAGTATTGAAAGTGTCAATTTTTTATTTCCTAGTTTCAACTTTACAAGCTTCTGAATTCTGATGGTTGATCGAACTAGTGGATGGCAGATTGCTTAGTTGCTGGTGATTACTTGTATTTGAAGTTGGAAATTGGTTAAAGCTGACTGAAAATGACCATGTTTTTGGCCAGCTTTTACTGTCTTTCACTGTTCGCTTTAGAATGTAGGATCGGTTAGGCAGGATTATTATCTTGTTTATTTATAGTACAATATTTCAGTACAACATTGCTATGATAATAGACAAAATGGCAATAGTAAAAATAATAAACATATGGTAAAATATAACAAAAAATATCCACTACTACCAAGAATTGAATCATGAACACAAACACTTTTAAAGGTTCCCTCATTGCCAGCATTCATTTAAATCTGAATTCTAGGCATGTAAAGGATTACCATTTAAACCATTACAGATGGTAATTGCTTTGCATGTATTTTTGGCTGTCAAAATGCAGCTGCTCCTGTGTAAAATTAAACTTGCAGGTAGTCTGCAAGTGTCATTGAATAAATACAATGAATCAATGTATTGTTTAATTGTATTTATTAGGGATGCTCCGATACCAATACAAGCATCGGTATCGGCGGCGATACCGAGTATTAGCATGAGTACTCGTACTCATGCAAATATTCCGATACAAAAAACGAGTACCTCTGCCGCGTCCGCCGTCTTCAAGGACCCGAAACCGCCGCACACAGGACCTCCATAGTGTCTTCAATGAAACAAGATGGCCGCGAACTCCTCCAAGTCCTCAGTCATCTGCTCCATTCTGACCTCTTCAACCGCTGATTGGCCGATTGAATGATTGACAGGCTTCCTCACCAGTCAGGAGTGATTGGATGATGACAGGCTTCCTCACCAGTCAGGAGTGACTGGTGAGGAAGCC